CTGGAGGGTAGAAGCATGTCCAGGCAGCTCTTTGTGCTGTCAGAAGGAGGCTCCTGCAATTGCTTTCCCCCCCTTACTACCCAGCTCCAGAAGCTGATGGATTCCACACAGCAGAATCTGCAACCAGCAGTACACAAATGCCCTAAAAGACACTAATACAAGGTCAGGTCTCTGTTTCCATGAGCAACTCAATCCAGTTGGAGCTCACGCGTTCAGTAACTGTGGTAAAGAAAGACAACTATTTGGGTACAAAAAATAATCATACAGTGTAGCAAAGTTTGGGAGCTTAGAAAGGAATAAATTAGGAACCAGAATCACCCAGCTTGGTCCTGACCACTTGATGAACTACAAGTTCCCATTTGTCCCAGACAGTCCCTGTTTCATCTCTTATCTCAGGGGAGAGATTCCTCTATAGATCTATCCTTCCATCCCCACGGGGTAAAAGGGAAGCTGGCCAGCAGGAAAGCAATGCCACAACCCAAGGTGCCCAAACAAGGTGGAGAAGTGAAGGCCTACACCTGCTTGTTAAAAATGAACAGGGTGTGAGCTAGTCTTGGCCAAGAGGCTGCTTCTTCTTTTGAGAAAACCAGGCAGATAATTTTCCTCTAAGGAAGATCATTAGGGAAATAGGGTCTCTTGCTAACCACCAGTAGCACTTAATTTTCAGGGGAGCCTTCAGCATTCGATCTCATTTTGAAAACTCACAAAAGGCAATGGCACTGCCTCCAACCACGTCATCAAGTAACATCAGTGATCCAGGCATGGCAGGGAGAAAAGGGAGAGGTTTTGGAGGGGAGAGAGGCTGCAGGCCAACCCTTTCCTCTCCCCTCTGCAAGGCCTTTCACACCAGTATCCCCGCCACTGCCAGGATGATTTATAGGGCACTTCACCAACCATTCTGTTGAAGTCCTTTCCCAAAGTTGCCTTCATCATTGGTCTGGCAAACCCTTCAGACACTGAGGGGTTAGTGTGGACGGCTGCTGGATTCCAGGTGGGAGCGCTTCCCAGCCGCGAGTACACTGCTGCTCTCTGTTTGCTCTGGGAATGGGCGCTTGTAGGTCCGACCGTGTCCGTTCACCGCCCCTCGCTGCCACTTGCAGATGTCTCCATTGAGGATGTCTTGAATGTGCTGCACTATGAGGTTTATGGCAACTGCAGAAGGAATGGGAAACAGCACACGTAGGCTTTCTTGGCTTGAGCTATCTAGAAAATGTGGAGCATCCAGCCCTGTTCAACTCAAGTTTTAGCAAGCCCTTAAATAAAACACTGTCAGCCCTCTACAGCAAGTCAGACCTCAATAGAAACCACCAACTGCAAGACCAGTTTTAACACTGGTGTCCTGCTCTGCATCTGATAGCACATTGGTTTTTCCAGCCCTCAGCAGAGGGGCTCAAGCAGCTCCCTCCCCTACAGCCCTCCAGCAAAACACCTTTCCTTAGAAGACTGCAAACAAAGCAGCTCTCCTCCCAACCCCAAAGGTGGGCTCCCCAGAGAAATCAGAGAACCCAACTCCCTTTTACCCATGTTGTCAACTCCTCGGGGGATGATCACATCTGCATACTTCTTTGTCTGCAAAACACAAACAGAGACTTTTAATGGAAAAAAGTCAGGTTTAGTCTAGGAAGAAGCTGCTACCCAGCATCAGAAAGCTGGGGGCAAAGATGGGGGGAGGGTTCCATGCTCTGGGACTGCAAGGTTATGCTCTTGGTCATGGTAAACACCTGAATGAACTGAGAAGTCATTCTGGATTTAAGATCAGGGATTGTTCTTAGTGTCCCTCTGCAGTGAAGCAGCAGGGAGAAGCAGCAGCTCAAGCCTGGAGTACTTGCTTGTACACTCCTGAAGACTATGCTGCCTTCAAACAGGTCATCTGCTTTGAGGCCAAGGTCTGTTTGCTAAGAGTTGGTTCTCATCAGCATTTCACAAGGCACTGCTAAATCTCTGCCAAGCACCCAGGTATGCAACATGCATGTGAAATTCTTTCCTGCCTCCGATGACATTTTATTGATCTCCACCAGCACTCTTAAACAGGCTGGCAAACTCAGCATTCCTAATGAGTGCTTTTACAGTCCCAGAATTACTTTGATCCAGAGCAAGAGCTGCCTGAGATTTCCATCAAGAGCTGCCTTTTCCATCTTATTTAATTCACAAACAGGATTTTGTTCTCAAAAGGCTTTGTTACAAATTAATTTGATTATGTGAGCACTTAAACTGGCCCCACATTATATGGCATAGCAAGCAGATGCTATAATGGTCTGCCCCAGGTTCCCTGTTGAGAGAGAGCCTGCAGGAAACCAAGTTTCTCTTTCTTTCTGCAAGACTAAAGAATGAATGCAGAGTGGGAGTGTTTCAGTCAGAGGGACCCATGTGCTAAAACTGCCTCCTGGGATTCCTGTAGTGCTTTGCAAGCAGAATGGACCAACCACTTCAGCTCCTTAACCAAGCAGCATGTAATGGTCAAACAGATGAGGAAGAGGGGAGAGTGTGAGACTGGTGAAGTATGAACACCAAAAGCCACCACTGCTGCACGTACAGCGCAGCTCATCCCCAACTGACCCTGCTCCTTCTCTTCCCAGAGCCCCCACGCATCAAAGAAGTGAAGCACTCAGCTCAGTACCGGTAAGCAGAACTCCTCAAAGGCAGGCTTGACAAAGGTGGTGTACTGAGTGAGGATCTGCTCCAGGTCCCTCCCGCGTTTCATATCGCGCAGAACTGGGGTGGAAAGGTAAAACCATCAGTCTCACCACAATGGATATGGCACATAGGGTACTGCTGCTTGTGCTGGCAGAGCATTACCATTACCTCTGCGGGACAGCCGGACATCAGAATCCGTGTCAACAAAGAGCCGGAGGTGAAACATGTCCCGAATGTCTTGATTGTAGAAAACCAGGATCCCCTCAAAGAGCACCACGTCGGCGGGATAGACCACTGTTGTCTCTGCCTGCCTGCAGGGAGAAACACCCCGTGCAGGCTGCCATCGGGCTTTACACCATGGCTGACTTCACCCTCACAGCCACCACCCCTTCACAACCCCCAAACCTACCTCGAATGCGTCACGAAGTCGTACGTTGGCACCTCAACTGTTTTGCCCTCAACAATGTTTTTCAGGGTTGTGTGCATCAAGTCGTTGTCAAAAGCATCTGCAAGAAGAAGGTTTAAAGAGGAACAACCGCAGATGCTGCTGCATCAGATGTTCTGCTCAGGTTGTCTAGACCTGAAGGAAAAACTCTGTCCAGTGATCCACCAGGAAAAGAAGAACTTACAGCTTATTCCTTCCTAATGCTCCCTGCCCAAGTGATAACCGCTGCACTGGGTTACAGAGATAAGAAAGGCAGAACTTGCTGTTGATGAGCAACTACAACACAGTGAAATGAAGAGCCCAGAAGCAAAGCTGCTAATTCACTGTGTAATTTCCCCAAACCGCTTGGTAACGGCGTGATTTACACACAACGGTGGGTGTGCGACGCTTTTAACCTGGAGGCTAAGAGTAATTTAGAGAACCTCAGGCATCTTTCACGCTTTCCATTATCCACCCTGGCGAGCCTATAGCAGGCACCAGGGCAGACCGTGGTCCTGTTTGCAATCCATAACGCCACCCTGAGCAAGGGGAGCAGTTGTTTATAGGGACAAGAAGTACCCGGACAGGATTTGGGTGTTACTGGATCCCGTCAGGAGCCGGGAATGAGGAGACAGCGCCTGCTCCCCAGCATCACGCCCCGCGTTACAACAGCAGCCGGCAGCAGGGGCACAGACAGCGGGGCTCGGGGGAAGCAGCGCTTCCAGCGCACCCAGCACCGCCCCGGGGGGGCTCGGCTCACCCGGGTGGTCGAAGTTGTACTGGCCCTTGAGCGCCTTGGCCTGCTGCTCGGCCGTCAGCACCTTGTAGAAGCTGTCCTGGCTCAGGATGAGCACCTTGCGCTGCCGCTGGTCCACCTCCTTCTGCCCCAGCAGCTCCATGATCTTCTCGCACACTGTGGACTGAGCACAGCGGGGTGAGGCGGGGCCGGCCCGCGGGACCCCCTCCCTCCCTCCGTCCCTCCCAGGGGCCCTGCAGCCGGTCCCGGCGGGCCCGCCGCCGGCTCTCACCTTGCCGCTGGCGGTGCCGCCGCTGACGCCGATGAGGAAGGGCCTGGGCCGCGGCCGGTCCGGATCGGGGCCGCCGGCGGACGCCATGGCGGGGCTGCGGGGGTGCCGCGGGGCATCATGGGATTTGTAGTCTGGGCGGGGCACCGCCGGGGGGGGCGTGGTCACTGAGGGAGGGGCGGGGCTACGGGCGCGGGGTGCGCTCGGTGTCAGCCCCGCGGCCACGGGGATGGGGAAGCTGCGGTCTGCAGCCCCGTGGGCACGGTGCGGGCATGGGCACTGCTCTGTGCGTGTGCGAGCGCAGCCCTGGAGCGCTGCCGGGGATGGGGCAGCCACGGCTTCTCTGGGCGCCCTGTGCCAGCGCCTCAGCACCCTCACAGGGAAGAGCTTCTGCCTTGTATCCAGCCTGAGCCTCCCCTGTTTCAGTTTTAACCCGTTACCCCTTGTCCTGTCGCTACAGTCCCTAATGAAGAGTCCCTCCCCAGCATCCCTATAGGCCCCCTTCAGATACTGGAAGGTTGCTATGAGGTCTCCACGCAGCTTCTCTTCTCCAGACTGAACAGCCCCAGTGTTCTCAGCCTGGCTCCATACGGGAGCTGCTCCAGTCCCTGAGCATCCTCGTGCCCTCCCCTGGCCTTGCTCCAGCAGCTCCGTGTCCTTCTTGTGCTGAGGACACCAGAGCTGCGCCCAGCGCAGGGAGCGGTTGGACCCGATCTCAGAGCTCTTTTCCACCCTGTTTGGTCCCATGGCTCCCTGTACCCCCCCATAGCCATTAACATTTAACCACCCCCCCCCCCGTGTGTGTGACCCCCTCCGCGGTCCCGAGCTCTCGAGGCTCCCCCGTCCCCTCCCTCGGTGCCATTGCGGGCGCGGCCCCGGCGAGCAGCGGTCAATGATTAAACCTGCCCGGCCCGGCCCGGCCGCGCTCCCGCCGCCTCTGCGGGGCCCTGCGGGGACCGCGGCGGGGCCGGGACCGAGTGGACGTAGGTGGGACCCGAGGCGCGGGGCCGGGACCGGGGAGGGGGGGAGACCCCGAAGTGGAGGGGAGGCTCCGCTCATCCGCTCCCGCAGCCCGACCCTGACCGGGGAGGGGGACACATCCGGATGCGCAGGGCCGGGGCTGAGCCCGTCTCACCCCGTCCCCGTCCCCGCAGGCGTTTCCGTGCCATGGAGAGCGAGGCGCCCGTCGGCTCCCGGCGATCGGAGCGGGGCGGCGGCAGCGCCGGTCCCTGCTGGGAGCCCCCCGGGGCCGGGCCCGTGGTGGTGGCGGCAGCAGCGACCAACGCGGCCTTCGAGGAGGACCCCCCGCCCTACTCGCCCCCGGACCCCAAGAGCGCGCATCTCCTGTACCCGCCCTTCCCGGTTCTGCACCCGCCGGGGCCGTTCCCACCCCAGGGCCTCCCGCCCCGCACCTCCGTACGTACCCCCCTGCCCCGCTCCGAGCGGGGTCACTCCTTGCCTCCCCCCCCCCCCCAGGGCTTGTGGGGTCTGAAGCTTTGTGGGGGGCACAGGGGGGTCGGGCAGCTCTAACAGCCTGCTCTGTGTCACAGCATGAGGGGGCACCGAGCACCGCGGGGCCCTCAGCCGCCGGCCACCGGCAGCCACTGCCCAAGGACTACCTGGTGGAGTCGGTGCTGGTGACCGTGTTCTGCTGCCTCCTGACCGGGCTCGTCGCCCTCATCTACTCCCACGAGGTAAGGATGGTGCGGGCCCCACGAGCACCAAACCCCGCTCCTGGCCCTGGGGGCCTCTTCTCACCTCTCCCTTTCCTCCCCCTGTGCCAGACCCGGGCTGCGCTCGGGCGCGGGGACGTGGTCCAGGCGTACGCGGCATCCAGGAAAGCCCAATCCCTGGTCCTCTTCAGCCTCCTCTTCGGGTTGTTCGCCTCCATCAGCTGGGTCATCTACGTCCTGGTGGCCCTGTACCTATAACGGGGACCCCAGGTCCCAGGGACATGGCCCGGCCTCGGGGCACAACCGCAGCCCCTGTGCATCATCACCGGGGCTGCCATGGGATAGGGGTGACCAGGAGGTGTTAGTGCGGCGGAGCAGCCACCCCGGAGCCACGCGTGCCTTTGCCTGCCCGCTCTCAGCCCCGCACACCACGGCGTGGGCAGGAGGAACCGGAGCAGTGCTGGTGCCGTGTCCTGCGGGAGCCGGCGCTGAGCAAGCAGCCGTGTCGGAACAGCGGCACCGGGTGCGGGATGAGGCTCTGCTGCAGGATGTGGGATCCTGTCACCGCGGAGCATCTCAGAGGTGCCAAACAGGACCTGGTGCAGAGGAAGCATCCGGTTGGATTGGGGCTGGAGACAGAGGCAAGGGCCAAAGAGAAGGCAAAGCACGTGTGCAAGAACCCTCCCCGGTATTGAACAGTGTGAGAAGAGACTGAATCACGTCATTTAGCTGCTGTGGTGATTCTGCACGAGTAAATCACACACAAATCAATCAATCACATGCAAATCAATCACACACAGATCAATCAATCACACACAAATCAATCACAGATCAATCACACACAAATCAATCACACACAGAGGCTCCATCGCCTCCTTCCTGCTGCTTCCTGATTGAAATAAACCACGGCTGCAGCCAAAGCTGCTGTTTCCTCTGCAAGGACGTTCCCCTCCATCCCGTGGCTTTTGTCCACCACCAAATCCAGGGTAAATTCCCCTGCAATGGGTTAAATCCGGGTTTCCTCCTGAAGCAGGACCCTGGCATGGGGAGCCCACATGGGGCTGGGCTGGGGCTGCAGCGGCCCCAGGCCTGAGGGTGCCTCTTGCAGGGAAGGGCAAGGGGAGGATGAGCTGAGCTGAGCTGAGCAGGACACGCGTGTGTCCTGCACCAGGGATGGATGTGCCAGGCCCCATGGTCCCATCCGGCTTTGCTGCCCGGTGGGACACAGCACCATGGTCCACCCCCAGTGATGGGGGGACGTGTGGGGTCATTGTCTGCACATCCATCTCCCTGACAATGATTTCCAGAGGGATCCTGAACCCTGTCCAAGGCTGGAATAGTGCTGGAGTGCGCCCGGACCCCGCAGGGGTTATTTATAGCCCCCGGTGCCAGCACACGGCTGCTGCACGGGCTGGGCACGCACTGACCCCTGTGTCCCCTGGGGAGATGGACACAGGGGACATCAGGGCCTGCAGGAAGGTGACAGGAGCAGAGATTCCCCTCCCAGGGGTGAGGCATGCACTGGGGCAAGGCCGCCCCTTTGGAGGTAGGGATGGGGGGAAAGATAAAAGGGACAAATGCAGAGGAACAGCCCGAGGGGGACATGAGAAAACACGAGGCCACACCAGCGCCAGAAGTGGATTCGATTGTCACTTTAATCCACAGACTGCTGCATGCACTGTAAACAGGACCGTCAGGCGGGTTTGTTACCGGTGTTTATTCGTCTTTAATATAAAAGGTACAGGTCTGAAATGTTCGCAGGAAGATGCCACCATCAGGACTGGGTTAGTGGTAAATACACAATAGAACCGATGGGCTGCGGGTGGGAGCGGGGCAGGGGGCTGGTGATGGGGGCATCACTCCCCCTGCTCCCTGCCCAGTGCGGAGAGGGGATGGAGACCCCCTTTCCCCCCCAAAAAGAGAGGCGATGCCCTTGAGGATGCTGCTTCCAAGACACAAACACGCTCATGGCCAAGCAAAGGGCTCTGCTCTGTGCTCCCCAGGTGCTGCTCCTGCACGGGGGGGGGGCTCTGGGCGAGGAAACCCTTCCTTAGGGACAACGGCAAAGGGGAGAAAGGGGATGGAAAGGCCGGGGGGAAGGGGCTCAGCCCCATGGTGCAGCTGAGCTGGTGGAGGGCAGGGAGCGAGCCCCCCCCATTGGTGGTATGAGAGCGATGGGGCTGGGGCTTTACACACAACACGCCTAGAAACAGGCTCTGTACAGAGCACAGGGGCCCAGGGAGGTGCTCGGTGCCGGCCGGGGCAGCCCGCGCCAGACACGGGCTCAATTTGCCTTGTCACGGCCGTGTGGGGTTTGCCTTAAAACCTGATTGACAAAGGCAAGCACCGGCGTGAGAGGCGGGGAAGCCTCTGGGGACTGCAAAGCCTCGGCTGGACACAAAGGGCTCCGGTGCCCTCGGTGCCATGGGATGAACCGTTCCGATGTGCTCTGGCTCAGATGTCGCGTTTCGGCGCAGGAACATCCCCGCTCCTCCCGCTCTGGGGATGCACAGCAGGAGCTGGCGCTGGACCCCACGCTCTCCTCACCTAGAAGATGCCCCCGCAGGCAAATGGGGGTCTCTCCCTGTGCCTTGGCTGCCGGAAAATAATGGAGCTGGTGCAATCCCATGGACAGGGCAATGCTGCCGTCGGTCCAGGCAGAGCTGCCGTCCAGCTGAGACGTTGCAATCTGTAGGAGGAAGTGCTTGCACCTCTGATTCACTCAAAGTAAATAAGAGACTTCAGCAAACACAGAGCTGCTGTTGAGAAATAAGGATGCTCTGAGAAGCACCCATCTGATGCTCTGAGAAGCACCCATCTGATGCTCTGAGAAGCACCCATCTGATGCTCTGAGAAGCACCCATCCGATGCTCTGTGAGAGACCCCATCTGATGCTCTGTGAGAGACCCCATCGCGAGCTGCTGCCCTGAAGCCACAGGATTTTAAGACCAAACTCTAAAAGCCACGAGACACGATGCTAAGAAAGGCTTCCCAAGGCTGCTAAAACCTCCAGGGTACACTTAAATCCACCATCCACGCTGTAAACCATGGGGTGAGGAGAGAGGAGGGGCGCGAAATGGCCTGACTGGGGAGGATAACCTGGGTGGGGCACAGAGAGGGGACAGAGGGGCTGAATAAGGCACACCAAACAGATTGGGGTTAACGCTGTGTGTGTGGGAAATGAGACCCCCCCCCCTTTGCTCTTCCATGCTGGGCTGGGGGCGATGGGGACCTGCTGGGGCTCCTGCCAAAGCGCTGAGAACAAAGCAGAGCACCAAGGGCCAGACACACATTTGGCAACAGCGAGAGAAGAGGAGTGGGGTGCAGGGGACGGGGCTCAGCCAGGCACAGGGCTCCTTCCCACTTCCATTCCCAACCCCGGAACCATCCCGCTTGCTCCGATGCCTGGCTCCTGCACCCGCCCCGAGCCTGCTTTCTTCCAGCACTCGGAACAACATTGTCACTGGTGGGGAGTTCTATACATACTGGTTCGCACTTCTTTTTCCTATAAACTCGTCGGTATTCAGACATGCATCGAAAAGAAAAATCCCCAAAGGATTCTAAACACTAATATTTACAGTCTCGTATTCTACAGCATTTACTGTGCAAAAGCTAGTACCATCGCTAGAAGACAGGGCTCCACGGACGGGTGACCCGCAGTACCTCGGTAGTCCGCGTTTCCAGGGTTCGGAGGGGTCACCGTTGCTTAAATAAGGAGATCTGAGAGGAGGAGGGGGATACGATGGCTGGAGATGGCCCATTTTCAGTGCCTCTTCCCTAGCTACGACTGGTGCCTTCCTCCCATGAAGAAGGCGCCGGACCTGGGGTAAACCATAGACCCCTGTAAACACAAGCAGCTCTCTGAAAGCAGAGCTCCTCCGGCAGGCAGCGGGAGCCTCTTCCATCCTCATCTCCTATGGACGAACACGTTTCAAGGTGGTGGTGTTACAGGGGAGACTCAAACCCTCAGCTTCCACCGCTGCTGCCACCGCTCCGGAGACAAGTCTGTGGGTGCTGAGCTCTCGCCAACCCTCCTTTGTGGATGAAAACAAAAGCCTGGGTATTCCCGGATGCAACCGGCCAGCAAACCAGTAACACACCTGCATGGGACCCTCCTTCCACAAGGCTCTCTCCCCGGGTTTAAAGCTGATTCATGGCACAGAGGGACGGGAGGAGGAGGAGGAGGAGGAGGAGGAGGAGGAGGAGGGTGAGTGCAGCGAGCACCGGCTGATCTCTGCCCTGCGCGGCCCACGGCGCGCCCCGGTCACCTCCTGCCTGCTGCGAGCGCCCGACGTTCACCCCCCCAGCGGGGAGGGAGGGTGCATCATCATCCAGTAACAGGTACAAACACGGAACTCCAGTCTCATAGCTGCCCTCGGGGCGCCTGCGGAGCAATTCTCCTCGCTCGCACAACCCCTCCTCCTAGGTTTTCTCTTCCCGGTCTGTTTTCCGCCTCGTGATGTTCCGAGGTTTGATTTTGAGGGACAGCTCCCACAGGGCCTCCTCAGCCAAGTGGTCGCTGAAGTCGTTGAAGAAGGACACGATGTCGTCGTTTCTTTTGATGTCGTAATGGCTGGAAAAGCACGGAGGAGGGATGCAGTTAAACTGGGGCTGCTCCCAGCTTCAGGCTACCCTCGCCCTGCCCCAGGGGCATCCAGCACCGTGCGCTCAGAGCACAGTACACAGGTCAGAAAGTGACACCAAACAAGGGGAGAACCAACGTGCCCATTGCTGAACTGGGGGGAAATCAGACCCCATCACACTGAAATGAGCAGGGGACTGGAGCTCCTCCTGTATGGAGACAGGCTGAGGAAGTTGGGGCTGTTCAGCCTGGGGAAGAGAAGCTGTGTGGAGACCTCATAGCAGCCTTCCAGTATCTGAAGGGGGCCTATAGGGATGCTGGGGAGGGACTCTTCATTAGGGACTGTAGTGACAGGACAAGGGGTAACGGGTTAAAACTGAAACAGGGGAAGTTTAGATTGGATATAAGGAGGAAATTCTTTCCTGTTAGGGTGGTGAGGCACTGGAATGGGTTGCCCAGGGAGGTTGTGAATGCTCCATCCCTGGCAGTGTTCAAGACCAGGCTGGACGAGGCCTTGGGTGATATAATTTAGTGTATCCCTGCCCATGGCAGGGGGGTTGGAACTAGATGACCTTAAGGTCCTTTCTAACCCTAACTATTCTGTGATTCTATGAAATGAGCAGTTGGATCTGCTGCCCTTGCTGCAAGACAGCACTGGGGAAAACACACCATGACCTAGAGAACATAGGGATCGTCAACCTGGAGGAAAAACTGGTGTCTGAAAGAGGAGTGGGAAAACTGCACTGGATCTCAAAACTAATACAGGAAAAATGTCTTCGTAACCTCGAGTCATATTCAACCCAGAAAGGGAAAGAGGCTGTGACCAGAGCCCTGTCTTCCCCTTACACCTCCATCACAATGCTTTGGTTTCAGACTCCCTTCCCCTTGCACAGTGGCTCCCATGCCCCCGCCCCAGTCCCCACCATGGTGCCTTCAAAGCCAGTTCTGACCCCCACTGCTGCTGCACTTACACTTGTTGGAAGCACCTCATGCTGTCCAGGATGTTAAACTGCTGCCAGCGCTTGGAAAAGTTCACTTTGCTGTCAATGTAATCAGGGTTTCCCAGATGAACAAAGGTCAGGTCCTGCAGAATCAGGCCTCTGAAAGAGAGAAAGGGGCAGCAGGCCAGGGAGTAGGCAAACAAGTAGAGAGGTTAGTCACACAGGGGCAGGACGCCAGGCGAAAGGCAGCCAGATGCAATTTAACAGCCTCCCGCTGCTGCCACCATCAGCACAGCAACTCTGAACCAGAGGGAAATGTTCCCCAGCAGCAGATCCGAAGGTGTTCAGGTGCAAGGTGCTCACCACACACAGCTGAGGGGCCTCCAAGGCCCTCACGGTTACGCTAAGGGTGCTGAGGTTGTTCTTTCACTCCCCATGGAGGCGAGGACCCAGCTGGAAGAAGGCTGCAATGGGAAGTTCCTGCCAGGGGCTAAACCTTCCCTCCAGTTTTAGGCAAGAGGGTTTCCCTAGCAAGGGGGTCTGTGCTACCTTCCTCCCTACTCTTCTAAGTCCCTGCAGGGTGCTGCTGTGGTCCCAGGCAGATGAGATGCTGTGTACCTGTGCAACCTCTTCCCACAGAACTCTTTCCATGGAAGAAAGCAAGACCAGGAGAAGTTTTCCTGGTGCAAACCCAGACCAAATCTGTTCTCTAGATCAGAGGGCTCTTACAGAGAAGTGCAATGGCTTCAACCTTTCATCTAGAAACAGCATGAAGCAGCATGTTTGACAAGGCAGACTCCTCATTTACCAGCTCTTGCAGTCAGCAGAACCAGAGCTGTTGCAGAACCTGGTATCTGCTGTGGGAAGCTGTGGGATCCATTCCAACTCTTGGTAAAAATCTATCTTTCTGCACAAAGATCTCAAAGAAAATACATTTAAAAAGCACCACCTAAAGAGCCAGGTACTTGATCCTTCCTTTGCCACAGTCAGTTCACAAAAAGATAGCTGCCAGCCTGCCTTCCTATGCTACAGGACAAACTGCTCCAGAAGAGGGCAGGTGGGTTGATGTGGCACGCTGCCATCTTATTGTAGACACAGGGCAAAAGGCAAGTGCTGAGCTGAGCAGAAGCTCCTGAGACATCCTTGAAGGAACTCATTTAACGGGCAGAAGTAATAGCAAAGGGAAGAAGAAAGTCCCAACTCACAGGTAAGGTATGCAGGGAGGCTCCACATCAGCCAGAGCTGCTCGGTAGGCGCGGAAGGACGAGGAGCTGTCAATCAGCGTGCAGTACTCAGCCAGGCCCTGCAGGACACAAAGCCCCCAGTGACACCACTACTGTAAGCCCATTTTCCTTGTAACCTCTCCCCAGAGCACCAGGGAGCTCATGCCATCCTGCAAACACCTCCAACTGATTTACTCAGCCTGGTCCCAAGTATGTATGAACACGAGTCTTGCTGCTTTCAACCTCACCAAGCCTTCAGTTTGCAGGGAGAAGGAGGCTGTTCTCACCCAGTCACACTTCAGGCTCCCAGCACATGGCATTACACCCACTGGAGAGCAGTCATCCAGCATCCCTCCACCCCTTGTTGATGCTGAGCTGTTAAACCCACCCAGCTGTTATGTGCTGTAAGCACAGTTCTCTTCCCCCCTGGAGATAACAGCCCTCACTGCTCTCACCTCTGAGGTTTGCTTCTGCCACTCCAGCCTTCGGATAGGTGCAGAATCCAGTGCAGAAAGAATGGCCAGATAGGAATTAAAATTATTCAGCTTTCGTAAGTGCTGTGAAGAGGGAGAATATTCCAGTTACTCTAGAGATCTGAAAAGCCTTCTAGCACCAAGCAGCTCTACCAGCCCCAAGGTCCCACTCCCCTGCTCCTTTAAGGAGCAATGTGTGTGATTCACAGCAAGAACCAAGCTGATACCTTCATAATCTTTATAAATTTAAGGAGCAGCCTCTCTCGGTCTTGGGCTTTCTCTTGGAGCATAATTATTGACCGGACCCTGGAAGAACAGACAGAAAAGAACGGATAAACCCACACAAGCAGATCTCAGATTCCTTCTTGTTTCATTTCATAAAACCTAGTAACTGATAAGCATGGGCCAACCATACAAAAAAGTTCATGGCACCTCCAATTTAAATGGAGCACTCTCCTCACAACAAAGAGAAGACCTTAAAGGATGACCACAATAACCCTCCACTGAGCACAAGGCAATGTTTGAAGGGCTCCGTGGTACTGACAATAATTGCTCTGTGTTACACTGCCCTCCATAATCCTCCTGATTCCCTTTCTTGTGTGCTCTTGGCTCTTTGATGAGTGCCTTGAACCTATTTCTTGGCCAAAAATATATCTTACCCCAGTGGTAATAAGGGAACCCAACTCTCCAAGGACTATTTTGAGTATTTATAGGGCCCTGGGGGTTAAGCACAGTTCAGTGCCACAGTTGTTCTGAGCTCCTTACCAGTAGGACATGTTATTAAAGTGCTCTGTGAACTGTGTGAGGTTGGGGCTCTTCTCTTCGTTTTGCTCCTTCGCCCAAAGCAGAACTTCTGGGATCTGCCAAGGAAGAAGAGAAGGGTGGGAAAATACCACACATTAAAATGGGATTTCTGCCTCAAGATTCCCAGTTGCAGTCTGTGTTCACTGCCACTTGCTGACACAAGTCCAGCTGTCTCCTACAGCCCAACAGGTGTGCTTGGGGAACAGGCAGAGAATACCAGAGATGGTAGAGGGTGTATGCCTGGATCCCTCCCACCACCCTTACCCCATCCTCAGCTCTGTACCTCGATTTTATAGAAAAGTTCAGCATCTAGCAGGGTCAGCTGCTCAGCTATTTCATGACTGTGGAAATCATGCAGGGTCCCAGGCCTGTAGGAAACAAGGATGAGGTATAAGGGCTCAGAAAATGTGACCTGTTTTCTTCTCTGTCTTGCAGTTTGGACTGTGAAAACTTCTGTGTCCACAGGAAAAGGGATGCCCCTTGGTTCTCAAAGAACCAAGCTACGGTCATGTGCATCTTTCCTCACCTGGCTGCCACCCCACGGGCTGCAAGAGGTTTGATGGAATTGGTGTAGCTCAGCATTTTCTTCTGATCCACTTTATCCAGGATGTTTTTGCGCAGCACTCTGGCGAGGCTCAGCTCCCCGTTGCACACCAGCCTGAAGACCAGGTCCATCAGCAGCTTGAGGATTTCTTCTGTCAACTCCACTAAGCTGAGAGAAAGATGGAAAACCCAGGTAAAGGGATCAGAGCTACAGTGTTTGTATCGGTACCCAGTCTTGTCGCTCTTTCCTACAAGCAGAACTGACTGAAATTCCTCCTCTTCCCAGCTCTTCCTTTTCCAGAGATTCCCCTTTTACTGGTTATTTTAAAACTGACCCATTTAGGACACACCGAGCACCTGCTCTTCCAGCAAGAGGGCTCAGCACTGGAAGTGTCTCACTGGTCAGGGTAGGGGATTTCAGCTGCCATTAGAGGTGAGGTTTAAAACCCCATTTTCATTAACTGCCAGATGTCTGTGTTGGTACTGACCCCACATCTCCCACCCTGAAACAAAGAAGGTGACTCACCACAGCTCGTCCACCACTCGCACCAGCACGAAGAAGGTGTTCTTACTGACTCGCTTCTTAAACGTGTCTGGGAAGTGGCAAAACTTCTCATATGTTGGTTGCAAATTAAAGAATCAACTTAATGTGGTGAGACCAGCATCAGTGCAGGGAACAGCTGCCTTGAACATCAGAATAGCACTGCTCTATCTTGACTGAAACTGCTGCTCACTTCCCAGAGGATAAGGGACACTGATGTGGCTATAATGAAGATGGTATTAAGCTGCCTCCAGCAGGCGTGTGAGGAGGTACCTACACCTCACAGAACTGATGCTGGAAGAGCAGGTGTACCCTGAAACTGTTCTCTCTAAGGTGGAATGTAATGAGCAGCACTCCTCTACTGAGATCTCCTCCACTGGTCTGTGACATCTGGTCCCAACAGAGCTCAGATGTCATCTCTACCTTCCTTACTGCCCAATTTGCTGCAAGGAGAATGATGGCAGGGGAGGCAGCACAGGTTGAAAACGCTTCTGCCAGGTGGACAAATGGAAAAAGGTTATCAGTAAGTCAAGTATTGACAAGGGCCTGCAGGAATGCCTCAGTATTTTCAGTGACAACTGCTCTGCAGTAAGGTTTGCTGTGTCCTTGGCCGTGCTGATCTGAGCAGGAGCACAGGGAGCAGTAGCCCTGCTGCAGATGGCAGTGATGAGCTGCAACACAGGACAGGGTGATGTCAGGCTCCCTTTGACGTGTGACAGGACCAAAGCCCACGAGGCTCTTACACTGCATGAACCAGACACTGACCTGCTCAGCTGACAGTGAAGGGAGCCATGGGAAGAGGGCCGAGGTGGGAACTGCAGGCAGGGTGCTCAACAAGAAGCTTTCTCCATACTCAGCCAGAAACGCTAATGCTCACCCTGCCACGTAGGGGCCCTTGCCTTGTTAGCAGTTACAAGCTCAGTTCAGAACTAGAAGGCCAAGAGGACGTTATCTTCTGTGCTGCATTTCTTGTAATAAGAGAGGGAATAGGTCTTGATTGTTCAGTCATCTCTAGTATTGAACTACACCTGCCCAAGCACACAATCCCCATGGGCCCTCTGGAAGGCACAAAGCACCGTGATGCCCATCCTACAAAAAAGATGTCCCAAACAAACAACCAAATTCCCAGTGATTACAGAGAATCTGAACTGCTCTTCTCCCCTGCCAGGGCCCTCAGGAGACTACTCTCAGGGCAGTACCTGACCCTGTCTGGACCTGCCCAGCAGCACCTCCCATTGAAGGAAGTCCTACCTGGGACACCAAGCATATTACTGACTACATTCTCAGCAGGCTTTTGACCAAAAAACTTGCCACCATCTTCCTCCACAACGACTTCTCAGCTCTGATGCCTGGCGTGGGTGAACTGCCACTCATTTAAAAGGATATCTGTACTGCAGCTTCTTGATGAGCTCTTCAGGGGTAATAAACGTCCTGTATGTAGTCAGGAAAGCTTCACAGTACAGCACCAGATCTACAGAGAAGGACAAGAAAGCCTCAGTTAAACCTGCTTTCAGGAAAAGGAAGCTTCTTTTAGGGTTGACTCCAACCTTACAGGAAGGAGACATGGACACATTTTGACACACTTTACAGAAATGCTGTGCTGTTGTTTCTTACCAGCAGATGGACCCTACGGCACAAGAGTCACACTGAAACTGTCCTGACCTCACCAGCCCGGCTCCCATTTGCAGCACTCTGGGCTTGCAGCTTCGCTTATGTGACCACCAAAGGGGTCAGTGAAAAATACCTGCTTGTGGGACAGGCACGTTCATTAATGGTTCAAGGAAAAATGTGATTTAGACCTTGGGGATGCTTTAAGGAGAAGATCTGATGGGGGGGGGGGGGGGCTTGTTCTCTGTCTTTACTGCTTACAAGGCCCTGCAGAAGGACATGGTCTCTCTTTCCTCCCGACCAGGAATGCACGTGTTCAACACGATGATACAGTGCTGCAGACCCTCTGCTTGTGGTATGTTACAGGAAATTACTGGCTGGGTTTAAAACATGACACTGCCCCAGGACAGTCTAATATGACATTAATTTCAGCCAAAAGAAGACTAAATTACGCTGCAAAAACTGATGTTACCAGAACCACAACCCTGCCACAACACAGACACTGCCACAGTGCATGCAGTCAACTTCTGTTTCTTAATCTGCAGCAGTGGGTGCTCCAGGCCCCTGAATCACAAAGGTTTTGGCCATTGTCATAGGCACAAAGGATGTGATTTGAAAAAGCAGGAACTGCAAATGGGAAAGAAGACTTCAGATCAAGACTGCAGCACACTCTGTCCTGAGCAAGGCCTGGTCACTGGGTACAGCAGTGGTCACAGTGGAAACTTATCATCCCCAGTATAAAACCCAGCAGCCCTGCAGGTAGCATTGTGCAGAGGGATGGCACTGCGACCACTGGCAGAGCACTGTTAGTGCAGACAGGGAGAAAAGGCTTCTGCTGTGCCTGCCCAGGCTAGGCTGTGCAGGTAAAGCTTGTTTCAGCCAGGACAGGGATCACCCCACACCCACATGCTGTAACATCCATCCACTGCGCATGGAGGGTGGGAAAGAGCAGGGCATGGTGTGCCGGTTGTGCCTCTCTACCTGCAGTGTTTCTCTTGGCAGGAGCCTCATGGAGATGCTGCTTCCTCCTGCTCTTAAATCAGAAAGCTCTGCTGCCTTTTGGTTAGAGACAATCAGACATAAGCTCTAAAGCCTGAGGCTGGGTGAGTCCCCAGCCTCATCCAGCTGTAATCCTGCACTCACAGCAAGCGCGCGTGGCAGCGAGCACTTAAGTGACCATGGATTTTATTCCTAAAGACCACAAGTCTCTCTTTATCCCTTACTGCATTTAGCTTTTTGAGAAAATTCGAATGGACAAGAAGCATCACGCAACAGGGCGTGGAGTTACACTTATTCTGGGTTCCCATCTGCCCAAAAGGCAACGTGAGGTAATACAGCTGGTCTGCTCTGGCACTTGAAGCTGCCAAGAAATTCATCTTTAAAGGAAAGCCTCTTAACTATACCCCTCTGTGCCGTTTGGCTGATTGATTTACAAGCCCTGAATTCCTCTCATTGTAAGCTTAATTCATTAACCCTCTCAGTCACCCAAACACTGGGTTAGCATAGCACGAATTCCTTCATGCTCCATTCAGCTCAGTGGCTTGGCAGAGCCTGTGGGGCCAAGCTCTGTGACTATTCTGAGCTCCCTCCACCCAGTCACTCTCCCTGTCCTTGTTCTCCTTGTTCTGGAGAACAAGCAAGAATAAATCAGAGCTTCTCTATTCCAGTTTCAGCATTTTTATAAGAGGTATTCCCACCACCTCATTTAGACTGCTTTTAAAAATACACCTATCTACTCCTCATGCAATCAGTTGCCTCCTCCTCTCTGTATGTTCCCAACTTTGGTCCTTTCTGCTTGGACTCAATGCCTGATGTAAATAGGGAAAAATTGCTGTCAGGGGAAAGATTTTCTTGCTAGCTGAATGGTGCTGGTAAGTAATTGCAAGCACCTTATGCTACAGTAAAACCCCTGCCATTTAAAAATGCACATGAAAGATATCTCCCCTTTGGCTATCAAACCTCTGAAATACGAGCGCTGAGTGGTTCAGTGGGTTCCTTGCATCCCAGGAGATAAGGAGATCAATTCTGGTTAAGGCCATCAGCACAAATGTGTTTGGCAGGGTCAGAATCACTCTCTGGAAAGATTGCAAAGGCTGCCTTTGCCACAGGTCTTGGAAAGGAGCTGCTTTGTGAGGGTGGTGACTGGGTGTGGAGAGACAAAGTGGGGTTTTTACCAATCTAGAGTTAAGGGTTGCTAAACTCCCTTTTCTTCCCTCACATCTCCTTCCCTGTACTGTGGATTCCCTCTCTGAATTGGTCTGGGTGGCTACCAGCATGCAAGTGGTAGAGAGTGGGACTAGGACATGTTAAGTTGAAAATAAGGGGTGTCAGAAGACCAGCACCTGAACAACTTGCCCAATGCCCATGGGTACTGAATTAGACCCAAACCAACATCCTCCTTTCTTTCCTACTTTGATACAACAGTCATTCCAGCACCTCCTACACCACCACTGCCCTGAAGTTCAAAGGGTAAGGAGCACTCTGAAAGCAGGATCCATGGCACAACAGGCTGGTCACATCAGCTCTTGGAGAAGACAGTGGCCTGCCTTGGCAGCTACAGAGACACCAACACAATGCTGTCATCAACTCCATTGGTGCGCCTTGCCTTTGGGGATCCGGGCAAGGGCTGTGAGGAGTTAATACCATCCCTGCTGCTAAATGGAACAGGTGCTTATCCAGCTTACCTCCATTTCACCAGAGATAAGCACACCCCTCTCTCCCCTAGCTCACAAACCCAGTCCTCTCCACCCTGGCCCAGCCATAGCATGACTGCACACGCTGCAGAAGACAAGCAGCATAAGGCCACACCAGGCTGTGCTCCTCAGCCCTTTGGTGCACCCACTGTACCTTTCCTGTCGGTCTCTGTTGCATGCACCAACAAAATGTCTCCAGATCCACCACGAACATCTGGCCCATCATCTCCCTGCAATGAGAACAGGAACACGTTAGGCATGGCCCAAGCTCTGGTTTACCATCTCTGGGGTTCAACCTCAGCAGCAACTGGCAGAGCACACAGTGTTCCTGGCACTGCCTGCAGTGCAAGCTGGGGCATGGTCTTCAATGCTGGGCTAATCCTAGAATTTGAATAAAGCATTTGGTGTCCCTGTATGAGGATCTGGGCTGATCCTCACTCAAGTCTCTCAAGGCCAGGCTGTGAAGCTCAGTGAAAGCTGAACCTTCTGTCCACAGAAGAGTGAACAGAAATGTCCCAGACTCCCAAATGCTCCCAAAAGACCATTAACGGAGCAGTAACACTGTGTGAACTGTCTCAAAGTGCAGGATCACGTACCACAGAGGCTGTGGGGTGAGAGGTCACGCATTCAACTTTCATGCTCCTGGAACATCAAAACCTAGCGAGTTAATTCCCTAATCTGGAAGTATTTGGCTGGAGGTCACCTGAAGTGATCCAATAACCAGGAGCAGAAAACAGCCCTGATACCGGCTTGACCCCTGCCTTTCTGCTCCCTAAAAGCATCTTTCTTCTAGCTCCTGTAATTCACAACTGAAATATGCAAAACTGACCTATCACTCAGCCAGCAGCTCCCACGCTGCAGGAAGCAGCTCGTGGTGGCAGTTCTATCGTGTTTCAAACATACAGACCATAAGGGAGAGAAAAAAGAAGAGCTGACAGATCTGCTAGCCCAAATGTTCAGAAATCACTAATTTTTGTTTTTTTTCTTAAAGGAAATATTTCTGCAGAGGAGACTGGAGTCGAGCCTGGCTTCCCTGAGCAATGTCTGTCATTTTAATAGGCAAAATACAAAACCCCCTTGGATTACAGCCAAAGAGCAGTTATGTCTAAGATATGATTTTTTCAGGTGACCCTCTGGCAAGATTCATGAAATACTGCTTAAAGAATGAGTAATAGCTTCTCACTCTCTCCTGCACATCTCGGCTGACCAAAGACCACTCCTAAAGTGCCAGTAAATGATACATTCTCTCTGGTTTTCAGCCTAGCCCCCTGACAACCTGAAAGCTTCAAAAGCCTGCATATTCCCCTTGAGCTGCACGTGAAAGACAGCTTGGTTCAAGAGCACAGTGAGCAAAGCTGCCTGGGAGTGCACCCAAGGCTAAAAACAAAGCCATTTCTCAAATACAGGAACAGTCACTTCAGCTGCTCTTCCACACCAGTAATATCCTGCTCAGGAAATGTGCTCAACTTGCCTTCTTTCTGAAAGGCCAACACCATAAACCTGCACCTGGATTTATTGTGCTCAGCCTCCCAGGTGCTTCATTTCAGGCTGGCACAGGCTGAAGAGGTGGGAAAGAGCAGACTGGGAAAAGGGCAGGAGATGCGTTGGTTTTTAGAGAGACATCTCACATTTTGTTAAACCCCATTCATTGCCAATGCTCCCTGCCTGCACCAGCATCTTATACTTTTCACAACAGCTGCACACATAAAGCTGCATACCACTTCTGCTGTAACCTAGTTTTCCCTATCAAATAAAAGCTGATGCCTTGCTTGTGCTCACAGAGAATCAGGTTTCAAAATAGCATAAACCAAAGAGTATAAAATCAAACCCTGAATGCACCTACCTCTTGCTTCAACGTTAACCTAGCCATAATTTCACTGTGGTCGATAAGGGATAGCTCATCTACCTCTTCCTCCAACTGTGATGACTCCAAAGCATCTGGTGACTGCTGCTGCCTGTAAAAAAGAGGGGAAATATCCATCAGTGTCATTGCCCATCCAGGGGAAGAGATGCTGGGTCCACTCGAGCTCTCAGTGTACAATCCTTCATTAAATGACAGTAAGTACACAGACAGGCTGAGGTAAACCTTCTGCAAACAAGCCCGAATTCCTAGCTCTAATTCTGCTGCTTTGTGCATCTCTTGAAAAAGAGGAAGATGAACCTTTAGGACCTGAACACTTGTCTGCCTGTGCTCTTCTGGCAGGCAAGATTTTACTATGCCCTGCATAAGTATACACTTCCATGTCTCCTTAATCCAGCAGCTTTTTAGTGCACACAAATCTAAGCTCTTCCTCAACTGTATAGAGACTGAGCATACCCTGCACATATGTATCTTGGTCAGCTCATGACCCGTTGTGCTGCTACAAGGGGGGATGACAGGCTCTCTATTTTGCAGGAGAATAAGGCAGAAAGCTCTGACCACTTTTTTGGGTACATCCACAACACTAATATTCCTATTTCCAAAGGCTGGCTCTTGTGCCTGGACATATGTCCTCTGTACTGGTATTCCTAAACAACACAAAAGCATGCATGTTCTTTATAGCTTTCCCCAGGCACAGGTTAAAATCCTGTGCACCAGTCCATACTTTGAAGCAGATAGTGAGCTTTGCAGAGCACTCTTGTATTGTCTCCTTCACTGCAGGGATTAAAACCCCCAAACCAACTGCAGGAAAATGGGGGAGGGAAGTTGACTGTCACACACAAAACAATGCCATCCTCTAGTTTTGCTTTAGAAATGCAATTGAAGAGCAATCTCGAGCAGCAGGGAAGCACTCCACTCCTCCTGAAGCCCATCTGTTACAGCCTGCACCTCTTCATTTACATAGACAAATGATAGCTAAGAGCATTAGAAAGGATATAAAGCCTCCTGCTTCGAGGCCCCAGCCAGCCTCTAACTAGCAGGGTTAGGAGGAAATTCCCCTCTGGAAGACTATTTCCCAGCAGTGAGATAGACTTTTTTCACACGTTTCCCTGGAAGCAGAAGGGAGCAGCCAGTGTCAATGACAGCACTGCCAATTAGGTGGGCTTAGGAGGGCTAGCACAGGCTGCATTAACCCCCACAGGCTCCCTGAGTTAAGTAACAACGTCTTGCCAGGATCCTCTTTCTTCAGCAGGATCCCACTGCTCACCACTGTGTGAAAACCCATGTGTGCTTAAGGTTTAGAGACAATTGAGGAGCTTGAGGGTGGAACAGGCAGCCCCAAGGACAGTTTGGTAAAGGGCAGGGCTAATGGGACATTGGTGACTCTGCACCCTTTGAGGCTGGGGAGCAGGAGTACCAGGAGAGTCAGGCTCACCTTTCAGCACCATCTTTGCCTTCCTTCCCCATGGCACTGCTGTTCAAAGCGGAGTCTTTGGAGTGGCTGTCTTTGACAGAGGGAGATTCCTGCAAAGAGAAAGGAGGTTTTCATTATTACAGGGGGTCCTACACCCCAGCTAGCCTTGCATTTAGAGTCTGCCTGCCTCTAAACGGCCCTTTACTGGAAATTCCTACAGAGCAGTTAAAGACTGATGCAAGTTAATGCCAAATACCAGGAAAACACAGAAGTTAATCAGACAGGAAATTTGGGAGCATCTCTGGAGACTAGTGTAATTAGTACTGTTTGCTTTTAACATTGTGAAATGATGCTGAAAGTTACAACACAAGTCAGCTGTTGTCTTGGATTTTAACTCTCTCACAACTATTTCTCCCCTCCAGTCCTTACTGTTGAAAAACACTTGCTTTCTGCTTTAATCAGAATGGTTACAACCGGCTCTAAGCTCTTCAGTTTCAGCTCCTCTCTTGATCTCATCCCCCAAAACACCAACTGGCCTTAGGGGGTGGATGCACACTGCCGATCCCACCTCCCTTCTCTTCCACCAGGAGAGCTTACACAATGAGGCAACGTTTCCACTTCACAATTCATGGCTGTGGAAATGAGACTAATGGAAAAAAGCAGAACCAGCTGAACCTGCGGCACAGAACAGCAGGTAGAGAGCTCAAAGCAAAGATACAGCATTTTAAATTAGCCATTTATTAAGGAGACAAATAGCCATGAACGACAAATGGGAATATTAATCTAACAGTGTTGGAGCTCAGAATTATTTAATATCATGCAGACTGAGACTTGGAAATTCAACCTATTGAACAGAGGGGCTTGAAACCATCTGCACACTATCCATTCAGCCTGGAAAACAACACTGGTGAGCTTCAGGTTCTTGGTGTCTGCAGAGGTTTTCCAGACTCTATCTGTAAAGCCCTTTGCTTCAAAGTTGAGAACCAGATCACAGCTGCCCAAAAGGATGGGCCTGCCTGGATGTGTCTCTTGAAGGGAAATGATGGGAGCACTATCTCTTGGCATATTTAACGTCAGCATGGATAAAGGTCTTGGAGACATCCTGTACATGCGCCTTCCAAGATGAGGGCAGGCTAAAGGATCGCCACAGATCTCTGCTGCTGTTTCCTATGACCCAACAGGAAGAGGGTACCTCCCTGCAGTGGAAAACGCCCTGTCTCCTCTAGGAAATAGCTAAGATACGAGGCTTGAGCAAAGGAAGAAAGAGCGTGCCATTATAACGCTAAATCAATCACTTACTTTGTATCCAAATGGTGAAGGAAACAAGAAATGATTTAGAGCTCAAGGCTTTCTGCATTAAAATAGGGAAGCCAAAGCAGTTAGAAGAACAGAAACAGCCCCAGGGTGGTGCTGGTCAGGGTGCAGCTTTCTGGAAGGGAACCTCACGCAAGCAGCTCCAAACAGCCAGCAAAGTGCAGACCAAACAGCGTGGCAGGAGAAGCTGTCCCTGTCTCCTGCCAGGGCTCACCACGACCCCAAAAGCATCACCTGCTCTGCACCGGGAGCAGGAGGCCATCCAAGCCAGGAGTGGGCAAGCAGAGGGACCACCAGCAAGGGAGCCAGGGCAGCAGGATGGACACAGGAGCTCCGCAGTGTGCAGAAGAGGCCGGTGCCAAGCGCGTCAGCCCCAGCGTGAACTCAGCATGCACCAGGCAGCCCCTTCCCGGTGTCCTCTCCAGGTTACTTACTCCTTCAGAGCGAGGGAGTTCCCCGTTGCTCTGGCCAGAGGAATACAGATTGACGTATTCACCCTCACCAGCCTCCTCACTGGCGTTTTCACTCTAAGGGAGACAGGATGAAAGGAAATACGTGATGGTGCTCCCCGCCAGCACAATGTTAGTGAGAGAACGTGCCCACGGGCTGGGAGGAGAAGCGCTCTCGGCAGCTGCTGTCGCCTAACTGGGAGCCCTTCCTTTGGCTCAACGGCCAACACAATGGCCAACAAAGTACAGCCAAGGCTGTACTTTACCAGGGGTTTTAAAGGACTGTCCTGAAGGCTGCAGCAGCACAGCAGCAGGCACTGCTTTGTAAGAGCTGCCGTGGACTCCATGCGAGACTGTGAAGGTGTAATATGCACGTGTAGATTTCAAGACTACAGAAGCTGAGCATCCAGAGCTTGACACCCAGTGCCCATCCTACCCGCGCTGTGGTCCTGCTCCTAACTGCAGATCAGCCCTGCAGCCCTGAGGGTATCAAATATACCTCTCAAACTGTGATACAAGCACAAACTAAGGCCATCACACCAAGCTAAACCAAACTTGAGGGTTTCTGGGCTGTTACAAGGACCCAACACAAGGAAGATCAACTGTAAGGTCAGGGTCAAGGTGTAAAACCCGATCATTTACTCTGCAAGCAGTGCTCCTCTTCCAAACATCGTGGAGAGGCAGCACCACCATGCACCGTGCTGATAGGAATCAACTCGAGGCTTTGCAGCAAACAAAAGAGGAGCTGCTCGAGAACTGGGTGTTTAAAAGAGTAGCTGTAATAGACAAACCTGCTCACTGATCTGCAAGACTGATCTGGGACCTCAAACCAGTAGTGCTGTATCAGTGTGGGAACAGCGTTAGTCTAACTTCACCAACATGTGATGCTTTGCATCAACGTGCACTGCCACCAAGCACAAGATAAGGCTGCTGGGAACTGGGAAGAGCAGGAGCCTGGAGAGAGCAACAGGTTTATGCCCAGGAGGGACAGAGCTGGACTGGACCCGCTGCTCCTGGGGCTCACCAGTGACTTAGGAGGGAGCAGCAATCACCCTGCAGAAACTGCAGGATGTGAACCACCTTTAGGAGCCCATGTTTAGAAACAATCAACCTCACAAAACACTCCTTTGCCTTTCTCAGCTTTGTATTACAATTGCAGGAAGCTACAGCAACTTCTCCTCTCCCCTTCACCAGCATTTGACATTTTGTGTTCCCTACACATGTGCTAACGTTTTCTCAGACCTGCTGACGCTGTTCATTTGTTCCAGCCACCGTTTTTATATGAAATTACCTCTCTACAATTCACACACACATTTGCAAACTGGACTAGATCACATGTAGCATTTATTAATACAAGAGACATTTTCTTTTAACAAACAAATAAGCGCAGCCTTGTGTTAAGATGCATTATCTCTATGGATAGTCTCACCGAAGGCGTCTGGAGAGAATCAGTGAAAGAGGTTTCAGAAGGAAGGCAGACAGGAGCATTCCCGTTAAAGCTGCTCTCCTGAGAAGAGGAGTTTGGCACATCCACAGTGCTGGGAGACTGGCTGGCTGCGGCAGGCACCGCTAGGTCAGAGCTCTGAGATGGATGGACGGGAGGAAAAGGTGGGGTGGAGCAGGAGGAGGAGGTAGAAGAGAGGAAAGGAGGTATGGAGACTTGGTTGTGAGGCACAAAGTCCTGGGAGTAGGACCTAAACACAGATTTGTACTATGGGATGCAGAGACGTACAACACAAAAACAAGGAAGATGGGGAAAGGAAAGAGACAGACAAAAGAAAAAGTAATTAGATTGGCAGCAGCGCAGCAGTGACAGCACAAGGCACAACCCCAACAGAGGCAGCTCTATTTTATCACCCACACACTACAGCAGGATTTGCTACCTGGGACACATCAGCCAGCTTCTTCTTCCAGAGACTTGCTCCTGCACAAACAGAAGCTTGGCTGCTCACCTCACAGAGAGGAAAAGGGGCACCAGGGTGTTTACCTGCAGGTATCCAGCCTTCGCTAGGCAGGGTTTGAAAGCCCGGGTATCTCAGTCCTTTAATGACAGTGACCCTGAAAATCACTTGAGTGGATGACAGGATGAGAGGGCAGGCAGAAATACCTAGATAGAGAGAAGTACTCCGAGTGCTTACTGCTTCTCTGGGATTTTCCACAGGATCCATATTTAAGATGCCTTTTGCTCCAGCCCTGTAATTTAACAGCTACTGTGTCAAGTCTGTTCCAGAATACACAGCTCCCAGGGAGGAGTGGCTGGATGCCGTCTTTCAAGTTGCACTGAGGGATAAAGGAGCTTACGCTGTTACTCCTTCCCATCTGAGCAACACAGGGAGCAGAAATGGTAATTGCCCTCAGGAGCGATGAATTCCTTCTCAAACTGATCCTTTAACGCAGTGCCTCGAAAAGTCAGCTGAAGAGATGAAAAGAGATCATCTGTGTACAGCTTTATTTCACTATCTCTCCTAATCATCAGATTACTGCTCAGAAAATATTAAACGGGGTGCAGTGGGAATATACTGTGCCAAGAAAAACAAGAGCAACCCTCTGTCTTTTAACATCTGGTGCTAGTAAGATTTACCATCAGGGTTAAGTCCAAAACAAAGCTGACACCCAGCAAAAACCGAGAGACAATAACGCTAAACCTGCTGGTGAGGAGTTTATTTAGAAACCTGAAGAGCTCAGCCACTGGTGAGACCTGTGTTGTAGCCAAGCAGACCAAAAGGAAGGATCACATCATCCAAAACAAAACCCACGCTGAAACGGAGCTGGGACAGTTGCTCCTTTGCGTGATCTGCGGCAGAAGGATGGTGCATTACAGAGCTCTCCAGAAGCACAGACACAACTCGCTCAAACCAGGCTGAAAGTGACACCGTTGTGATGTAGAAAGGAGAAGGGACAACAAAGACAGGAGTCAGAGAATTCAGGCTACCTTTTCCCAGGAGAGCTGAGTGTGTGACAAAAAGCAAAGCTTAGTCTGTCACCTGAGCCCTGGCAGCAGCATCCAGTCCAGCAGTGGTATTTTTGTTTCTACCTAGGAAAGACATGAGCTTAAAAACCTGAACTGAGAACAGCCTCGGGCCAAAAACCTGGGCAAAAAAAGCTTCTCCACTACAAAGGAAAGGAAACATAAAGGTCAATGGCTACACTTTACCTTCCACCACCTTAATCCTCAGTGGTTGCCCTCCGCTGTGCGTGGAGTCCCGCAGTGCTCTGGGTGTATTCTGCGGACCCCAGACAAATTGCAGGCCATAATACAGAGAAGCAGAGGGAGATGCTTTGGAAAGAGAGCTTAAAAGACCACTGGAAAATAATTAAAATGCAAATCCCTACCACATGCCTGTGGCTAAAAGGAGACTGGCTCTAGGACAGGCTCCTCTCTCTTCCTGCCTGTTTCTTTCCGGATGAGCAGCCCTGGCTCCAGGGACACTGTCAGCTTTTGGTGCTGCCTCAGTAACAATGACAACTCTAATCTCTGTATTTACTTTCTGCCCAGATAAATGCTCTGCATTTATTCATTTTCACTTGCATGGCACAAACCACTAAATCCCTCCTAAGAAGCCAGGCTCATGACATCACCTTGGCTCAGCAGATCCATTGTGCCTGCACATCTCCCTGGTATTTCATGATCTCACTGGCCCTAACATGCCAACTATTGCCCCAAATCCCAGGCTAGACCCCCCCCCCAAAAAAAAAAAAACAACACCAAAACCAACAGGGGCAAAGTTGATGGAGAATGTATATCCCACCAACCACTGCTGCAACAGTTCAAGAAGGCACTCAACAAAGGGCTGTCCTGATAACGAGATCCTCTGATCCAGTAAAGCAAATAATTTGTTCAAACAGAACCTATGTGCCAGCTCCCCTGGAGCTGGGCTTCCTGCACCCACATAAGACAGACGGCACATGCCGTCCTTCACTTTGTAGTTGATGGACATCTCCCACCAAGAAATCCCAAGGCTTTTTGTCTCTGACCTGCCGAACCCAAGAGAAGAAGCCAAGCTTTTGGAAAGCAGTGGTGGAGCTAAAGCAGGGCAGGAGAGAAAGGAAATCACTGTCCTCAGTCAAGTCACACTGGGACAGGCAGCACCCTGCGAAGCTGTCACGCTATGTGATGGAGCTGGCAGGGTTAGTTCAGGCCAAACACTGGCCGCGAGGCTCAGCAGCTGAGCGGCTGCCTGGTACATTGCCTGCAGGCTGAGCTAGCTGCTCAGGGACAGGAATTACTGCTGCTGGGGCAGAAGAAATCACACAGCTTCTGCCTTGCACAGTTTCAGGGACATTAATCCCAATTTAAAGGCAATGCAGACCTAAATATAACATAACATTGCATACATCTTAAAAGTTTGACTGTGGATATGTTACTCCTGACAATCACTATACATTGATTTCTCTGTGGCCTCATCAATACACCTTTTGAAACAGTCTCTTGGCATGAGAAGTGTTGAAAATGCTGCTTTAAGGCCCAAGTGCCCAGGAAAATGCATTCATCTTCATTATGTGATCCGTGAACAATCATTTAAGGAGGCAGACATGCTCTCAGCATGCTGTTAACAAAGGGAACAGCGCAGAGAAGCCTTTGGTGCACTGGCATTAATTAGCCAGGCTGCTCTCCGACTTCCAATCCTGTTGTAAAGTTGCATCTTGTGGAAAGAGAGCCAAGGAGCCCCCGCCTTCCTTTGGAGCCAGCAAGCAGCTCTGGAATTCCAGCTATGCAGCCGTGCTGGGACAGGAGCCAAGAATGAAGCATACTTTTAGAGGGGAAAAAAAACACCCTGTGGTAGACATGATGTCCATATGGCACCCATTCCTGCTGCGCCCCAGTCAGGCCCTGCCCAGCCAGCAGCTGCAGCAGGAATTGTGGCAACAGCATCCATGGAGTTTGGGTGTTGGAAGCCCTGTCATCCTTTCAAAGACATACCTTTTTGGGGAGAGGACAGTCCATTCAACAGAAATGTCACAAGCGAACCAGTCATCCTCTAGTCTGACCCCCAAGAAATCACTGGCAAGAGTTTATCCTGGAAACAGATCAGTGCTTGTTTTAATCTGCTTCTTAGAGGTTTCTTTCAGGGTCAGTAAGACCTCGGTTATGGCTGTGCTGACACAACCTCCTACCCCTTGGCTTTACTTTAAATGAAGTATTTCAAGATAATCTCTGGGAAAGCTCGGAAGAAGGATGCATCCGGATCCTGTGAGAAAGGATGCTTTCCTCTATCCAAAGTCCGGCCATGCTGCCAGGCTCCCACCACAGGACCAGAAGATGATCTGCCAGCATGAGTGATCCTGCAAACGGCCAATGCAAGGACAGGAGTTCCCTCTCCTCTCACCAGTAAAGTGGATCTTAGAAACACCTATCTGCCACTTGGGAAGTACTTCCACAAAGCATGGAAGCAACCTTGTCTCCTGGGAACAGCAGGAAGCCAACATGGCCAGCCTGAATGTTTACCGCACACCGTGACACACAGAGGTCTCCCAGAGATGGCCTCTTTCAATTTGCTGCCTTTGATTTTCTGCAATGGTCAATATTTTAGAAGAGCTTTTCATCATTAGCAGCAGTGTTACAGAATGTCCCTAAGGTCAATGACATTACGACCGTTTATTTGGATTAGATGGCAGGAGATAAGCACTCTAATAGAAAACTCATTTCAAGAGTGACACTGCTCTACATCCACTAGGCATGGCTGACCACAGGTAACAGGGTGTTTCCATAAAGGGAGCCACTGGTTCTGCGTTACAGCAGTCCCTATCCTAAATTCAAAGCTGAATTCAATTACATGGCTGACAGAGCATCCGCAGCATCAGCAGACACAGTCTTTACCTTTTAAGCACAACCTTCTCAATTACCCTATGGAATCCTTCTGCCAAATTAATCTGTGATCCCGTCAGGCACTCCCAGATCAGGTAAAGCACCAGAATTCCAAAACATGAAGCTATCAGAGCAAAGGATCAATCTTTTAGATCTCCCCTGCTAATGCTATTGAAAGAATGACGTGGGCAACGTGCCAGAACTGGATGCCCAGATTCTAACAGTACAGAACTATGTTCACAAACTACTGGGTGTTGCACAAAGCCGTTACACCCTGAGAATACAACTGCATAGACAGCTATTGGAAAAGACTTCCTATCTCATGACACAATGCTGGACTTCCAGGTACTTTTGCTAATGAGGAAGGAAATGCTCCTGCAATGAATGGCTGGAAACACAAGCTGCCAACAGAATGGCTTCAAGCACTGCCACAGGAAAGGCAGCAACTCCTCATGCTTGAATGTTTCTCAGCAAAGCCTCTGACCGGGCTGCACAGCTGACCTCCCTGTTTTTAAGCAATGGTTAGCATAGCAGATGGATGGATGGGGCTTACTGTTCCCTTGGGAAAGGGTCTCCTGGCTTCTGCACAATAAGACACAAAATCCAAACTTCTCCTTAAGTGGGAGGGATTCTTGCACATCTTTTCAACAAATCAAATAAGGGGGCAGCAGGGGAAGAAAACATTTGTAAGATATATTAACATATGTAGGAGCTATTATTAACCATGCTATCACACATCTCTCTTTTGGAACTATCAGGAGAATTCCATGTGATCACACCTACAGCGTCAAATCTTATTCAGCCTGTAGACAATACCACCATACCTAGCAAGCAGATCTTTAAAAGGCAGAGCCTGGTGACAAAGACAAGACTCCTAAAAACTCAGTCACACAAAAAACGTGGGGTGTGTGGCCTATGAAGTCAACAGAGGGCTGGTTAAAGACCTACACAGAGCCATAGTGCTCCAACTGCAAGAAAAACATAAACCACTGGAGGAAGTGGTTTTCAGAAGCAGGAATTGGTGATCCAGCACACAACAGCACTATTAATACCATTGTGCAGCCCTGCCGTGGGCAGTGGAAGTGACCACAGAAGGAACACTAAACAGGAAAGGCAAAACAATATCTAGGACTCAGAGGACAGTTAAATGGATGTAAATCTCTCCCTCCCCCTCAAATTAAGGAGCCAAAACCTACTTGTGAGAGAAATGAATTAACACCATGATTTCCCATTACTGGTTTGACCAAGGCTCCCACCATCAGATCACCATATGAATCAAACCAGTTCAGTCTCTGGTGAGGGCCAGAACTGTGGCGTGTGCTGCAGGCTGGAAGTGAGCTACAGGAACAGGGGCAAGGCGGGGAAAACATGTGAAGCACATGTCTGCATCGTGTGCATCTTTAAACACTTATCTGATCCTCCTTTTCCTGAACATACGTTAGCACAGAGACAAGAAAGAGAAACAGTTGCTGTGAATTTTCTGTGAGCTTACTCAATTTGCTCAGGAATGGTGGGAACAAGCGAGAACAGAAGCGCTGAACTGGAGCTTTCATAAGGAAATCACTTGCGCCTTCTGCTGGAATGCTGACAGCCAATTTGGTTTCTGGAAAATTACTGGAAATGTTTCTTAATTAAAAAGAAAACATAAGAAAAACCAACATTTTGAGAAAGTTATTTCTCCATAGTGGAGGATGCAGCCAAATTTCCACTAATGGCATGTACATGCCTTGGAGAAACAAGTGTGTTCCTTGTTTCGGAGAGGAAAAGCTTCCTAGCTGTAACTGAATGCAAGGCCTTCTGCAGTCTTTGGTGGAAAATATGTGGATGGATAGCAACTGAGCTTGTAACAGGCCTGATTTCCTCTGTCAGTGCAGAGCTCCCCAGCTGCCAGGAAGTAATGAGATTCCAAGATCTGCCATTCAGATACCTGCCCACCCATTTCCAGTCAAACAGCACATGGAGCTAATGAACCAAAGGATGGTATCTCTGTCTTCTGAGAAGGAGGGAGGCAGGTGATCAGCTAGAGAAAAACTACTGCCAACAATCAATCACTGAGGAGGATGGTTTCTTACTGCATACCTCCTTTCCCAATGTTTAGCAACAAAAAGTACTTTCAAGAGATGGGAACCCCTAGACTTATACCTGACAGTACAATCCAGTTGTCCCCCCGACATTGGATTTAACATCTTATCTGTGCATGGGATGGGGAATGATGCTGCAGCTTCTTAAATATCAGCCCACACTACAAATAGGACCCTTGCTGGCACAGAGGCCAGACACAAATCAGACTCGGTTAAAAGCAAGCTCCACTTGCCAAACCTATGAGGTTTGATCCAGTTGCTCAAGCTCTGCCTCTCTCCAGTAAAAGCTATTACCTCTGACACAATTTCCTGCAAAGAAGGGAAAAGCGCGATTAGTGGGTTGAGAGAGCGGTGGTGGCTTCTGGATTGCAGCAGTGCCTGCAGTGCTGATCGCAAAGAAAAGAGTCAGGGTTCTACAAAAGAAATTCATATATTAAAAGAGTAAAGATGCTCTGAGCAACTTCACCTCTTTTCTGCTTCAAAACACCATCTAAAAATAGTCTTTTTAAGCCCCGCAAATCAGTAGTAAGGCATTAGTCCTTCACCTGGCGTATTGAGCTAATGGGCTAACATGCAAAACGTGTAGTTTCAGCTTTGCTGCTGCCTGCACAGGAACAGATGGGGACAGGGACAGGTTTTCCCCCTGGGATTGACTCCTGCTGTCCACACCAGTCTCCAGGGAAGGAAAAAAGCACAGGGCACTTCCTGAGAATTGGCTGCGCTTGGCAAACCTGCAATGCTCTGCTTGCCTTGGGTCAATGGACAGCCATTTCATTTATGGCTTCTGACTTCCTGGTATTGATCTAAGGAGGTTTTTGCTTCCTGTATAGAATGGATAACTATTTATGTAGGAGACATATAATTTTAAGAGATTCAGTAATCACCGCTGGTATCTGGGTGTGCACGAGGCCAACCCTCAGCTGGCTGGTACCTGAAAGGTGTGCTCTCCCCAGCATTAACTCCCTTGCCGGGGTTGGTGCAAAGCTGATGCTTAACTTTAAGCAGGTTTATTGCTCCCCACAGTGCTCACTTGAGTGGCCTTTCTCTGGTGGCATAAGAGGACCAGAGCAATTTGCTTAAAGTGTTACTGGTGCAGTTTGTGACATCCCTCATGTGAAACCACACGCTCCTTCCAGTCAATGCTCAGGAGCAGATTGCAAGAGGGGCTCCGGCCCTTCTTAGTGCTGAAATGCAGGGTGTCGCCCTGGGAATGATCCAAACCTTGACAGCTGTTTCATATCTCTGTCTTATTAGGGATAAGGAAATGGGATAAACCATGGTTATGGTATTACATGGGTCAGCTATGATGCATGTAAGGACATTGGCATTTTGCAGCTCGGAGACAAAGAGACACTGTCATAGTGAAAATCTCATTTTTCCCTGTGAAAAAACAGACCAGCTACAGTCATGAGCAACTATGAGATTATCATAATTTAAAGGCATTAATGGAAAAATCACCATTTTAAATTCAGCTTATGTCCTTTATGCATTTGACGGTGCACTGTGTAATTGTTCCCATTGTTCCTCATTCTTCAGCCACTTCCCTCACCAAATCCTTGTAAAAACGAGTAAGGATTTTTTTTAATGAAGTTTTATCATTTCATAAAATATTCTATTCACAAAAATGCAGCCCAAAGCAAGATGAGAGCAGGTCAGAACAATTAAAACGATAAGTAACCACTTAATCCAACCAGGACACTTTTTAAATGGAAGTGCCTGCATATTTTGAGAACATTATAGTATCATATTCATAGCCTCTCAATCAAAGCAAAAATAGTCAAGTGTTTTTATTCAGTCTTAGAGTTCTGTGCACCGCTTGCAAGGATCACTATCAAACAAGAGAGCTGTACAAGTCAGAACTCTTGCATTACTTTGAATTTAGAACTGTTTACCACAGATTTCTGCAAGCACTAACCTTTCCACACCTCAGCCTTCTCATCTGTGCAGCAAAATGATGATACTGTTCTCTCTCACACAAGTGGAAGCCAAAAGCTTTCATTCCTTGCTTGTGAAGTAGCACTACTTGTGAAGTATTTGAATACTTTCTTCTTTGGACCAAAGATTATGGCTAATTTTTAGAGAATGAGTAAGTGTTGAAATGGGGAGACAGCAGCGGCGCAGTGGGAGGATACCATTTTCAAACATTTAACATTAAACTAACTAAACACTTTCTGAGTTTTCTCAAGTCTTGTCTGATAATTTCTGTTCCAGAAGAAGTCTAATTTAACTAAACATCCAGGTCACTGTTAAAAAAGTCTACTCTCAGTTGTCATCACACAGCAATCAGAGCATAACCACATAGTTTTACATGCAAACGAGCCCCATACTGATGAGCTGGTGGAATCCCATGGTTAGATTTAATTTCATTATCTTAACACTTTGTTATTACTACCATTTAATTTAAGCAGCTAATCACAGATTTAAGCAGTGCTCTAAGATTAGTCTTATTTTGATTTGAATCATTCTCGGCTCCTCCTGCCTTTTTCTCTTCAGAGACTGCTCACAGTGCTCATCCATCAGCAAATCATACAAGGTTACTGAACTCATCTGGGACCATGGAGACGTGAAGGGAAGCAGACAAGCAAATATTAGATAAAAGATCTGGTAGAGGCCATTTTTTAGGAAAAAAAATAAGGAGCTGCAGCCACTGTTCCATGAGTTTGACTAAATCCATGTATTTGGGGGACAGCATCTTGTTATTTCTCCGAAGGCCAGCCTCACACAGCAGCCTTTAATCAACTCATCCACATCGCTGACATTATGCAACTGAACAGAAAGACTTTGCAGCTCTGCTGTGCAGCCTGGGGAACATGTAGGTCAAGGGAATGTGCATGGCACACAGGCCAGCTCTCTTTCATCAGTCCCTCACCACAAATGTCAATACTGCTGCTTATATAAAGCAAGCCACACCTCCCCTGTGCTTCACTTAGTAGGATTTACACAGTTTTTCTCACCTGGCTGACTGCTACATGAGTTCAAACCCCCCCAGAAGAACCTTTGGCTTTACCTGCAACCATGAGCATAAGCAGAGTTTGCACAGAAGAGTTTCATCAACACAAAAACCACACACGTGTTAAAGTGCAGAGAGCCACTCACCGAATGCACAGGAAAGGAGCTGTGCCGGTTGAGAAAGGAGTTAGAGACTGACATAGTGAGGCCCTGAGTGGCACCGGTGTCCTCGGGGGTGAAGGGCACTTTAGTTTGCTGGACACAGTAGGAGACAGGAGAGAGAGAAGAGGCAGCATAGGAGGCCTGCTGAAGAGGGAGAAGAAAGCAAGAGACAGAAGACACGAAGAAAGAGAACACAGAAAAGGCTATGAATAAAAGGATAAGAAATGCTAACTGCAAAACAATGCATGCTAAACAAACAGCTATTCATACAGTTCATCAGTCAGACACATCAATATGCCTTTCTTGAGCTCAAGAGGCACGGCAAAAATCACAGTTCAAATCGTCTTTGTTTCACAAATCCCTTAAAAATAAACTCCAGCCTCCCTCTTACAGTCCACCCGTGGTCAACTGCTGCAGGAGGAGCCAACCTGCTCCTCGCTGCCCTATTTATCCCATGGCTTGTGGAGCAGATGCCTATAGGAGGAACTGGCTTTTGTTTCTGCTAAGCAGACAGTTATTGCAGACTCCTACTTTTTGTGGCAACCTGCACAGTGGGAACTTGGTCTCTCCAGTGTGAGCTATGGGTCCTCACTGCCCCTGCTGAGATACTGCTGAGAAGAGTGATGTCCTGCCGTTTTTCAGTCCAATCCAAAATTATATCTCATTTGCACAAGGGGAGATATTACACTGTAACAAATACTATTAAGGAATTTCTCCTGAATTCCACTATAGTAAGGAGTCTCAGGGAGGGTAAGGTGTATCTTGGCTTTCTCAGCTCTGACTTGTTGAATATAACCTGCGGTGCTTCATATATAAGATGTGAAGCTCACACGACAGGACTCCCTAATTCTTATTTTGTAAAGGAGTCCATCCAGCAAAACTTGCCTGCTGCTGGAGCAGCTGATGCCCATGTGATTTGTTATTTCAGAAACTCTCACGGAGCAGGAGCAGAGGAACAAGAGTCTGGTGGCTTTTACAGTGACTGCTGAATAAGCCATCATCTGCTTGCACCACTTTCCCAACAGATAGATGAAGGGAAGGGTGGGAGGCTGTGCATGAAGAAACCTTTGCTTCAGGGAACTGCAAGCAACACCTTGATGGTATCAGCTTGCAAAACTAGAGGAATGCCTAGCAGGCAAACCAGTGACATCTTGGCTACCCAGATAACAATTAAAGGGCAGCAAAGAAACGCTTTGCTTCAGCTGATGAATTCAGGAAAGGAGCAGAATTTTCCCTCAGCACAATGGCTACAGTAAATCTCTGTTGACAAACCCTCCCTCGTGACCATGTAGCCTGTATCACCACTGGAAACTATCACTAGAGTGTAGCCACCTCTAGGAGAAGGTAGGGCAAGGGACTGCAAAGTGCAAGTGACAGTGCAAGGATCACTCTGATAAGGGAATCACAGACTCTGGAGAACTGCCTGATCCTTTTAGAGATGAGTTCTGCAGACACTTTAATGTCCCTGCAAAGCAGATGGGACACAGGCATTCCAGGTCTCACCCCCCAAAACAATAATGCATAATACTCAGTTTAGCTTAGCTGGAAATGTTAATTTATCTTCTTAGGATTCCTACCTGCATCACAGGAATGCAGTTATGCAAATCCCAAACTTACGAGTTCCACGTTGATTTCCCACTTGATTAAAAAGCATCACCCTGGGACAGTCAAACTTTAACACAGATAGCATGAAGAAATATTGCAACAGTCACCCTCATGATGGTAAGACCATGGCTCTGTTCCCACATTTCCTCCTGTTTTGCTAAAGCCACGGCCAACTTAAGTCAGCTACATCAGCACCAAAAATGCCTTCTTTTTGATAAAAAATAGAGCAAATCAAATAATTAATCTAATAAACCCCTCAGGATTGGTATTAAAAATAGAGAAAGGAAGACCCTAAAAAAGAAATAGGACAAAATCCCAGTTCCACTGAGGCTGGAAACAAAACTGCTGCTGCCAACACTGAGGCCAGGATTTCATCCCCCACATGGAAAATGGCACTTGCTGTACTGTTAAACCCACCACCAAAACCACAAACACATGTGGATGAGCCTTTCTGTGCTGGCAGTCGGAATAACAGGTAAAATCCTGAATCACACAAAGGGATTAATGTGAAGAAAACAAGCATGAGTTAAAGAATGGTTATACCAAAGTCCTGTGGCTCTGGCAAAGACTGAGCCATAAAAGCAGTTATTAAGTTTAACTGTTATTATTAGTGGCATCCTTGACAACAGTTTCAAAACAGCATTGGGAACAACAGTGCAGCAATCTCTTGAAAATCACGTTGCTCAGCGTGTCAAAATCTTCAAAGCAGTTGTCGTTACACAAGCCTGCAGCCTGGCACAGATTCAGCCATGCCATGTGGAAGACTAATGTTTCATTTCAGGGCATTCTAGGACTTTCAGAGCCTTATGGGGAACAGTCTGAACATGGGGTTAGAAAGGAGCTCAAAGTAGATGATGCAAAATGCTTAAGAATGTGTTAACAAGATGACAAGGAGCATGATGGGGTAACTCTAATAAGATATCCTCCCACCACTACAGCCCATCAGAAGCAGAAGGATCAAGAACAGAGCTGTCTCGGAGAGTCCAGGGAGGGCACAATGGATGTCACTCACCAGCTGCCTCTGCTTGGGTGGGAGAGCAGGAGGAGGTGCCAGATCTTGAGAGGGGTCTAAGCTGATAAAGGAGTCATTGAACCCATAGACTTCCATGAGGTGCTTGTTCTTCTGCTGGTAGATGTGTTCATTCTGAGGGGTCTGGTAGAACATGGACGGCTGTGGCTCGGAGTAGTCTTCCACAAACTGCATGTACGCCATCACTGCAATGCAAAGAAAGGTCACACTCACTGCTCCTGGTCCACACGCCACAGCTGCAACAGCAGGCAGGATGCTTATCCTCAAAGTGAAGTCAGAGTAAGGCCATGCCACTGTCAGCTGGGCTTTGCTGCAGGCTGGGAGCAGCAAGGCATCCGTGCTGTGTTCACAGGTAGCTCACACAGTCAGTTGCCATCCACCTTGCAGGAAAGGATCTGAATATCCCATCCTGCAAGCCAGTGCACAACAAACATAATCACAGGCTACAAGCACATCTGACAACAGTTTAAGGAAACCATGAGGTCTCCAAACAGCTACTTGAGAAGTTTGAGTCACTAATGCTTAGCCCCAATTCCTTCCTCATGCAACTGAAAGCAATTTTGACAATAGTCCTCAACAGCTTATGCCCAAGGTCATAAAAAAAATCAGAATAACTTCAGTCTGCTTTCTAGGAGGCACAAATCATCTTGTACGAAGATGCAAACTTGACAATAAATCTATACTAATTATTGTGCATATAAGGAGTCTCATATCTGTAGTCAGCAAAATTTCTAGAGCGAGGAGCCTTACGGCGTTTCTCCATTCTAGCAAGCTGATAAAACTGTTAACTGGAGAACACCTACCTGTGAAACTGCGTGTACCTCCTCCTCAGCTATTTATATGCCACTGATGATACGGGATACTTACCTTCTAAAAGTGCCACTGACTGTGCCTTTGCACCCTCTTTGCTCCAATCCAACACCTTTTGCTCCCATCCCTTTATAAAGCATCTTTATTTTAGTGTTGGAGGGGGGGAATGACACCCAGTGTCATAGAAAGATCCCCCCTGAATTATTAAGGATCACAAATGTACTTAATAATATAAAATAAATACAGAACTCTCTTCTGCATACCTGAGAACAGGAGCAACAGATGCATTTAAGTGCCATAAAAAGGACTAATAAAGGCCTTTTTGTAAATAAGCCATTGTGCACAAGATACTCTGTGATCATTCTTCCCTTCCTCGGGATAAACCAGCAGTTGTCAGGTTTTGTAAATCTGGTCATTAGGTGGCAATTATGGTGGCATTCTGCTGGCATTTCAGCTGTACAGCTGAAATGAATGGGTGGCTTCAGTGAAAGCTATAAATACAATGCAGTACTTGCTCATCACGAAGCTGCTTCCCACACTAGCTGCAAGGCAAAGCCCTCTGTTCACCTGCCAATGCACATGGACGGGCCAGCCTATTTCAAACAGGATGCACTGTGCTAATGTGTCACTGTGCACCTGCCTTTTGCACCCTTTTTTTTTTTTCAGATTTCCTCTAATATTTAAAATTCCAGAGCTATCACCGCTGCCCCTTCCCACAGAATGAAATCCTTCTTTAAAGCAGAATAAAGAAAGAAGGCCGAGGAGGAAACCTCAGCTGATGGATTTCAATCCCAACCGGCAACACCTGCTGTCCCCATCCTGTGACCCCACATGGACCTGCCAATGGACAACCTATTTGTGTCCAGCAGCACTGCCAGCTCCTGCAGAGCTCTGCCAAGGCTGCTTGGAATTCTGACCCCCAGCATCCTCTGCTACCCTGGCCTTGCTCCTCTTCCTCCCCCAGCCACCCTCCTTCACAGATACAAGTCACCACCCTTGCTGGCTCACACCTCTCCTCTCGAAGGAAGTGTGCCAGAGGTTTCAAACCGCACACACATGAGTGTTGGTGTGTGCTTGTGCCTGCTCATCTGCTGGTGTTGGCACTCCTGCTAAAGCCAAGATCAAATTTGCTCATGCATGTGAATTGCAGCCTAACAGTGAAAAGAAGCACGTCCTGGTGAGATTCTGTTATTTGAAATCAAGGTAAAGGAGTCTTGGTGCAGAAAAATACAGAATTACTAAAATACTACTTTCAAATATCAGTGATTCAGTTGACTAAGGCACTTCTATTAATACCCGTGTCCTGAAAAATGCCTTGGTATCATACAACAGCTTTAGAGGGTAAGATCTAAAGAAGGCTCGTGAAAGATACTTCTCTGGCAGCAAAAGTGAATTAAGGTTCATGACTCCTTGGAGAAGTGTAGAGGACAAAAGCTTGAGGGAAAAGACCACATTCTGAGAGCTCATCAACTGGGTGGGATAAAAGCCAAGAAGTCAGGCTTGGCAGTCCTGGTATAATGCAGCAGATGTTGCTAAATTCAGACCAATCCTTCAAAAGCAATCCTTAACATCCAGATCTGAAGACAGCACTCAGGATTGACAGCTGATTTCAGATGTTTGCATGACACTACAGCTCAGGAAGTGCTGGTGAAAGGGGTATCACATTAGACACTTGGGTAAAATTAAATTACTGTACCTCAAGGTAGCAAGCCTGAATGCTATTGAGAGCTTTAACTCAATCTGCAAGGGACTAATGAAGAGCTCTTTTATCTCGGCTCTTTATGAGGCTAATGCATCCCATCCTCATGGCAGCTGCCTGCCTTGCTTGTTACAACCAGCCCAGGGCAGGTGAGCATGTCTCTGCTTCTACTTTGTCATCTTCTCTGTTTTTAGGTGAAGTGAAAAACAGCTGGGACGGTGAAATACAAACCTGGCTCAGGAGCAGAGACTGCAGAGCAGAAATTACAATGGCATCGTTAAAATGCTGCCAATCTTGAACAGGAGAGCCAGGGAGCAGGGCCACTCCTGAGACTGCTGTTTGCAAAGGTTCGTCTCTCCCCCCTTCTTCCTCCATTCCTTCCCCTCTCTGCTGTGGTTTTGAACAAGGCAGAAATGTAAAAAGCAGATGGGGAATTACATCACCAGCTCAGATCAGGCTGCACACCCTGCAGTGACTGTGCAGAGGGAGGGATGGAGGCTGCAACCTCTGCTGCAAGCAGCCGGGGTGGAGTGACAGTCTCAAGGCAGCACCCCAGGAGAGAAGGGAGGTGTGAGAGAGAAACCTCTCCCACCACATGCCCAGCTTATGGCAGCTCTGAACCCAGACAGAAAATAAAACCCCCATAAAATCTCAGACTGAGGCTAGAAACACCTGCCCAGCAATCTGCCTGCAGTGCCTTGGCTGTCATTCATGAAGGAGCTAAAGGTGCTCAGGGATTTCTAGCACACGTCAGTTCTGCCCACATGGTAGAAGTCACAGGTATTGCTCAGAATGCACCAGCAGTGCCCCAGCCAGCTCGCTGTGCAGCCAGTGCTCTGCAGACAGGGAGAGCAAACACTGGTCCTGGAAGCAGCACCCGCATGCAGGAGAGGAGAGAAAGCAGCAAGTGACCTCCTGCCAGGAAAACACCCTTGGTGCAGTGGTTGTTGGGAGATTATCAGCAATAAGGCACATCTGCACTATAGGTAAGGCACAGTAGTATCCAAAGCAAAGGACTCACTGAAGGTCTAGCCCAGCTCCTGGTGCAGTGCCAGCAGCCTGTGCTACAACTGGCCCTGCACAAGCACAAGAGATTTGTGTGCATGGGCAAGAGCCAAAATAATGGAAATTCTTAGGCTATACAGCACATCAACTCAGTGGAGAAATCAAGGTCAAATAAGCCAGTCTGTGCTGTCACCTCTGGGAGGAGAGCTGTTTTTCAGAGTTGGCATTATCCACTGGCTAAGCCCAGACTGCCCTCAGCATGGTTCCTGCAGTTAAATACCAGCTGCTTACAGGGCATCAAGCTACATTTTGTTCCCACTGACAAGGAGGAAAACATGAATAAGTGCCTCACCGCTAGTTTCCAAGCTGTTTGGGGGGAGGATCTTGTTATTTCTGACTCTGGACTCTTCACTGCAGCTCTCCATATCTGTGTCTTTTACATCAGGAGCATGATGCTGGTGCTCAAGCAGAAGTCTAGAGTAATCTGCCTTTAGCACAGTAACGTAATAATTTATGTGAAGCTAAAAGGCTTACCAGTCCTCTGTTTAAATTATACACAAGTCAACTCTTGGAGGTCCCTCTGAGCGCAGCTCACACCAATATACATGGTTAACTCAAGCAGGATCTGCTGTATATTACCAATAAAAAGAACATCAAAGTATCCACTGCAACATTTCCTGCCAACTACCAAAAGATGACCCACAACAAAGGGACTACAACCAAGTCCAATCTGTGTAAGCTCTAGATCTTGTTAATAAATTCACACATCTCCTCTGGATCCCAAGAGTTTGTTGGTGTTGTGGAAGCAGCACTGCCTCACCTATGTGATTACACAAGAGTATCTACATGCATCAGCCTCCAGGCAGAAGAATCCTGGGTGCTACTATACAGCCTGAGTAATGTTTTACTGTCCTTTTAATGTTGAAAATAAAAGTAAAACTAACAACCACAGATCTGTGGTGTGATACACTGTGGAGTAAAGACAATCTAAAACAAGTTCTTGATGTCACATGAGTGCAATTAAAAACCCACAGCAGTCAGGTATCAGCCCAAATACTACTACAAGCTTTGCAGCAAGGGTGCTTTATCAAACCATGAGAGCTGACAACACATTAGGTAACAGCTTCTACCTTTCCTAACAATCCAATCTGTTCAATACTCCAAGAGCTTCTCATAGCGGCAGATGACAATTAACTCTTTTCTAACATCAAAGAAATTCACATACAAGGCTGTGGTGTTGAGGTTAAAAGTGCATGGGAAATAATGGAGAAGATAGCTTTTAAAACTGTTTTTAACTAACTCCTTAAGATCTTATATGATAACAGAAAACAAAGACATGGGACCTAAAGAGGAAAGCAAACACCCCAGATCTCTCTTTCAACTGTCAAATTGCCTCTTACCCAAGATTTACCCAGGCATCTCCCTCTACTAAAGCTGCCTACGTGCACAAAGGTGCATCTCCCTGCATCCATCCCAGTCTGCATGGTGTAAAAGCACCTGGACCAGCCCTTGTGGTCAACACCCAGAGCCCAGCAGGACCTGATCCTGCAGTCAGGAGGCTCTGCATCACATCCCCTTGCAGGTGAGTATTCTGAACAGCACGAGCCATAACAACCAGCCTTGGCTACGGCCTGTGCCAGCTCTTACATCCTTTCTGTTGCCTACAAACAAGCACCTCAGCTCCTTTTCAGTTGCTTTCAGTATAATTTAAATGTTTGCTTCCCAAAGAGGGCAAAAGTGATTTCCTGTATATAGGGAAACTACCATAGGAATGGACAGAATACTGACCCTGCTGCACCACATGCTGATCTTGCCTCCACCTTATTCTCAGTGAAGAGGCTTATGAGCTTCAGAGATGAGTCAGAAAGCCAATCCAGCACTTTCAGATCAGCTCTCCACTTGGGCTGCCAGCCACATAACGTAACACTGTTGATCCAGATCTTGTATACACCACCTCCTCATGCAACATACAGCTGCAAAGCAAGCCAGTGACTAGTGAACTAACATCTGCTGGATCTCACTGCATAGTCTGCAGCCTTCCTTGGCAGATCAGTATGGCTGCTTGTTTGGCATGAGCTTTCACATGTTTTCAGCCATGAACATTAAGGAAGTCAGAATAAGGTTGTGAGCTGGAGTCACAGTCAGTACTGGTGTGCCAGGAGCCTCGCTGGGGCCAGCAAGCCTTTGCTTTAGAGGCTGCTCATTTTAATGATGTGGGAAATTCTTAGCCATCCAGAGGAAATGAGATCCCACAGCAAAGCAGTAGTACTGGACACTAGGTTAATAGTCTTGTCTTGCCCAACTGTGTGGGTGACTATGTTCCTATTCCCAAATAACTGCTCTGGCAATGCTTGGTTTTGGACAGAGAAGCAGCCCTTTCTCTAAGCTCTTGGAGAGTATCCAATTCTCTTCTGTAGTGGCAAAACACTCGTAAAACGGGGACACAGGAGCAGGAATGGACATAAAATGGGAGGATACACTTGGAAGATCTGCAGGGCAGAGTGCCTCGGAGACTCACACTCAGGTAAACAGAGAAGTAAAATGGTCTCACTATAGTAATGTAGATGCCATGTGGTGACAGCTCCCCTTGGGCCTGGATCATTCCTGGCTCCAAGAGTCACTCCCTGCCCACCACAGGTGTGACACATCCCTTCCATGTCTTTGACACGACTAACTGATTTTGACACAGCCTCACGTAAGCAAGAACATTACCTTGGGGGTCACCATTACTTAGTGGTCATCAGAAGCACAACTGCAGGGAAGGAGAAACCCAAGTAAAGTAAAACCCAAATACAAGAACTTGCTTACTGTGTTTGTTTTTCTTCTCTGGCAGAGGAGGTGGCTTCTCAGGGTCACTGTTAGAATCTGGAGCAGCAAAATCAGCAATGAATTCAACTGGTGCTGAAGAGTTTCCTTGCTGGAAAGGCAAAACAGCAGCAAACGGTGTGAAGGGTATTGATGGGACAGACACTGCATTCTGCATGTCATCCTCCGAGATGTTATCGTATTGGGAAGGGTGCCTCTCATAGGACACCCTGCAGCCTGAGTTATCTGAAGTCTGAGAGGCTGCACTCCTCCTCTTCTTTTCTGGTAAAGCTGGAGGAGTCTCTGTTGGCTGTGCTGCTCCTGAGAGGCTGCAGAATTCCAGTGGAGGAGAGGTGCCCTGTGGGAGCTGGAAAGCATGTCCATGGAAAGGGGAGCCAGACTCACCCAAAGACTCTGGCAACGGGCTGAGGATACCTGGAGCCTGCTGAGGTATCTGATCAGCATTGGAGAGGTCTTGCTGCAGGAATTCATAGTCGGGATCATAGTGATCTGATTGATCTGGTTAAACAGAGGAGACAGGAGAATGATGAATTAGTTTCTCTCTTCCACTGTTTAGCCCTTCTTAATTCTGCTCCTCCCACTCCATCAGTTAATTAATCAGTTCATTTAATCAGATTGCTGTTTTGTTGCAGCAGGGACCATCTTGCTACACCTTCTATAACATCTAGCCTTAATAAAACTCCTCCCATTATTTCTTTACATTAGCAAACAAGTAAAAAAAAATCAGCAGGTAGATCATTGCATGTTTCACATCTATATTTTTATTTTCTTTCCTAGTATGTAGAAACAACATCTCTTTAGTCTACCAGGACTGTCATTTCTGCAGACAAGTCTGAAATCAACAAAACATTCCACTTGAGAGAGAGCTGAATTGAGTTTGAACACAATCATCTACAGCTAGGGAAACACATTCCCCTGGGCTTTTTCCTATCCGACAGACTATAACTCTGCATAGAACCGCCTGCAGCAGCTACAAGATGACAGCTGCAAGCGCAATCCATTTACTTCTGCATCAGAGCTATGACAGCTCCCAGGCAAGAGTGAAGGGGGCTCCTCCAGCAGCAGGAGGACAACCCTGGCCTCTGCTTACCTAATGTTTCACAGCTTGTGTTGCGGGAGCACTGACCGCTGTCGCGGTCCAGAGAAGAGAGCTGCTCGTCAGACTTGCTGAGTTTGCCGATGCTACTGCATGGTGAGAGGCGAGGAGATTCCCCCCCATAGGAGTGGCTTCCACCTGACAACCTTCTCTGGGCATAGCAGTCCACATCAAAATCCTTAAGCAAAATAAACATCAAATTACTGTCATTCTTGGCAGCTCGCTAATAAGGAAGATGCAGCTTGAGGACCAAACACCTCACAGTTGTGTTAGGAAAACCAGGAGGGAAGAGGATCAGTGCTGCTACCCCCCTCTAGTTACACAAGCTGTGTGTGTGACCCACACTGAACTTCACAGAGGCTGAGAAGAGTCCCTCACTGCTTCACACGTCTGATAACTGCTTGTCCAGACACTGATAGTAGGGAATTAGCCTGCAAGACTTCTCATGAAATAGCCTTTAGCAACCATTTAGCTGAAGTGCATGCAAAGGCAAAATAAGCAATAGTGAGATATAACTTTCTGTGCCTCTATTGTATTTTCCATGTTATACATTTCTACTTTTGAAGTTCCTCAAGCCCATCAACCTGTGAGTGAACTGCTCAAGCGACCCCATTTCAGCAAAACAACCTAAGTGTGACTGTACTAGGAACTGAAGAACGTCCACAGCTTCATCTGGGTCAGCCAAACGACTAAGCCAGAGCTGAGGTTTTAGGGATGAGGACAAGATTTGATTTTGGTGCAATTTAATACAATTCAGGTCCTCACTGCTGAGTTAGGCAAGTTCCTAAATGTGTAGTGCAACCCAGCCACTTACCTCATAAACCCCAGTCTAGCACAAGCAATGGAGCATGACTAACACACACAGTCCCCAGTTTTCTGTATGTTCCCAAAGCACCAGCAGTGGTCAGAGCAGTTGCTCAAACTACTGCTTGTGTTAAAAGAGGTTTTAAATTGCGACTGGGTGAAGACATACTTGGCCTCTAAGTAAACCTTGGTGAGATCTTGGTAAGCTCAGTTGTGTACCTGATCTCCTCAACACAGCAACACTCAACCACTCACATCGTCACACTCTGTTACAGCTCAAGGCAACAAAGTTTGTAGCAATTTGTCAATTAAATCCAAACAACACTGTAAAAAAAATTACACTGTTCACATTATTTATTATCCTGATGTTCCTGCCACTTAAACTCCTGCTCCCGAGTTCAGGGCTGTTTGGGACGAGCAGAGGCGTGCAGGGAACTGTGCAGCTGCAGCTCATGGCATTTCTCTGAGCTTTTGCTGCAGTTCACAGCACGTTTCTTTGGCTTTCACAAAGGGATTATGCCATTACCTGTCTGTTGATTCCAACAGGTAAACTGGACCCACTGGTGGCTCGACTCATGGGGGCCACAACCGCCACTCTGGTCGGGGAAGGTGCCGACTGCCGCTTTTTAGGAGGTAATGCTGGTGGAGGGCTGCAAGACACAACAGGCATTGATGCTTCCAGCAAAAAGACTTTCAGAGCTTTCACAAGCTTGTTTTTCCAGAAAGTCTTTGACTTGGCAGGCTCAAAGCTCACAGGTACTTGTCCAAAGCTGGCCAGGAGCTATTCAGCAAAGCATATGCACTAACAAATATCAATTTAAGAATGCTCTCACGGGTAGGGTCCTGTGCAGTGATTTATTTTTAAGGTTGGAAAAGAGTTGGTATTTCTCAAACAAAAACAACTGCTGTTTTCAGAATTATTTTTAATGGAGCTAATTAGCAAGGTAATTATTTCTTAATAAAAGTGGTGAAAATCCAAATTAAATGTATTGTTTGACCCCTTCCTCCCACCTTCCAGGTTTGAAAACTGTTCAGAGTTTCAGAAATCTACAGGAAAGGACAATTCTTTTTCTGCTCTTTCACTCTCCTGATGAGCTTCAGGGAACAAGATGGTCAGTGTTGCCCTCAGCATGTGAGGGATCCATGCTCTGGCATGAATCTGTTTCAGATACACATATTAGCATTAACTAGTGAGATTTCAACCACTGTACTTTTAGTATTTGCTTCTAATGGTGCCTAAATCTGGTAACCATCGAGCCTGTGAGATACCCAAGAGCATGTTCTGTTTCTGGAACATACCACCAAATAGTTATAACACCCATGAGAATTCACAAAATACATAGAAATGTAATTCTTTTTGCCAACCACAGCCCTTGATGACACATTTTCATATTAGCACAACATGCATTTTTCACACCATCCATGAGCACCAGTGCTAGAGAAGAAAAACACTGCACACAAAGGCCAAAAACCTGTAAACTGGATTTTTTCTCTTCCTTCTCAAAATAGAACATAGAAACTTTCATGTGGTTACTCGCAGATCAGGGTAAGAACTAGGTAAAAGATTTTTTTCACACACTAGTGGCTCCTTTCACTCTTAAGCAAATGCAGAACAACCTGGATGTGCAGGACAGGCTGGTAACTGCTGCTGTTAACAGAACATTTCCCACTGGATACAGCAGCAAGACACTGTTGTACAGTGTGGTATTCATATATATGTTTTAAATAAGGTTCTTATGCCTTTACGTGATGCCTCTCATGCAAGGATGTCAGGGCATGGCATTACCCTCACATAAAAAGGAAAGGAAAACACAGATAATGAAGGGTATTGCTCAAAACAAGGCAGAGAGATAACAAAGTCATAAACAGAACCCAGGAGCAGGGAAGAATTACTCTCGAGGACTGGAAATTCAGAGGCTTCACTAACCCTCCTTGCGATGTTTCTTGTGCATATTTTGCAAGGTTGTTGAAAAACCAACGAGCTGGTAAGAGCCACTGGTATTCTTCAGTCAGCTGGTTGCCAGTATTACCTGTTTTCTGCCACACGAATGCTAGGCAGAGGGGGTTTGGGAGGTGCAACTTCTTCGTCCATGGAGTCAGTCAGTAGCTCATTGGATTGAGTCATATTAGTTGTTTTGTTGAGGATCTCCATTTCTCGGTCTGTAAGGGGAAGTTCTGATGGGCTGCAACAAGCACAATACAGATTATATACCACAGAACACAGCAGGAATGTAGCACGCTGGCAGGTTAATACATATGTTAAATCACACACAATATGAGAGACACTTACAGCATACCTATAGGTATCTTCCCTATCCTATCATAGCATATTCTCTTTAAATGGTCTTACTGTAATGGATGAGGCTACATAAAGAACACTATGCTACCCTCTGTGAAGAACTAAATGCTTTAATTCAACTATCAGTAACCAGAAATTATCACTTCTACATTAGTCCTGCAGACAGGAGAAACCCCGCCAGTGACCCACCTGTCAGATTTACATGCTGGTAAACTGGGTTTAACTGGGCTTGTGGGAGAGGGATGCTCCTGCTTTTCAATCGTGAGTCTGACCAGCTCCTGATGGATGGAGAGAAGAAAAAGAGAATCATCATTATTTGCTGAATGCTGCACTCAAACATCCTAGGTCAGAAAGGGATGTTGGCACAGTAAGCTCCTGGTTACCCACGTTATGGATTAACGATGGCATGGACACAGAGCTGAGGTGGGTGTAAGTGTGGAACAGAGATATACAAATGATGCAGCACTGTTTCTAAGGAGCAGCCTGCACCTTTGGCTATATTTGAGTTAAGTTTATAAACCCTGGCCCTAAGGGGATTCTGCACAAACCCACATGTGCGTCTTTTTGCCATGCTTCCTCTTTCCTCTATTGTCACAAATATGTTCCAGTCCCTATAACACCCTAGATAATGCAAATTGCCTTTACATACATAAAATGTAAGTACACAAAAGTCTTACACAGTGGAATACTTCATCTAGCTAGTGAAAAAATATAAATAATTGCTTTATATTTTATAAGCAAGTATATATTTGTCTCAGAAAGCAAGTTTTGTGTAAGATGCCCAACAAGAAGTTAAATCAAGAACACCTTTATTAATAGGCCTGCTTGCCCTGAAGCCATCTTTTAACACGTTAGCAATGGAAGTCTTAATTATTCAAGGAACTACTCTGGGTGTATCTGTTATAGGAAGATAAGGCTCTGGATAAAGAGATAAGGGCATGATAATCCTGAAATATAAGTCTGCCAGCAGTCAGAACAACAATCAGTCCTGCTAGAAAGATGGAGAGAACATTTTACAGATGTCTGAGGCCAACAAATAGATCTACTGTTAACAGATGCAAACACATGCCCTCTTACAGGCAGGCTGGAAAACTGGCAATGTTTCCTGACAGTATTGGCTTCCCAGCATATTATGCAAAGGAAACTATATGGGATCAATTTTTAATTTTAAAGCACCCTGAAGTACAATGTCATCATTTCAGTATCATCTCCATGTCCATGTCTGTGGAGCTTGGAAACAACTGTCATTGCTCTCTCAACGCAATAACTGCAACTGGAATGTTGTCATCATCAGCTTTCCAAGGAAAGGGAATATTCTAGTTCTCATGTTTTTATATAAGGCTCTATTTAAAGCTCAGTGTCCATGGGTCAACATACACACAAGAGGAATAAAGTACTGCACCGGATGTGCAATGGACTATGAGAACAGTCCAAGTGTCCATCACAGCTGATTTTGGTTTCAATGCTCTACTTATGTTCTTGGTGTGACCTTGTGCTTAATAATAATGTACACTGTGTCAAACAAAAGCACAACAAAACACTCAGCTGGAAATGGAAATTCCCACAAGTGAGGATGGAAGAGCACAAACATAGTGTATACAGATGTCCATGTGGGTTAATGCTGTGAAGATGTTCCTGTCTGAGACAGACAGACAAGAGCCCTTGTGAGGAACAGCATGTTCTAAGTGCCCTGATGAGGAAAAGCACAGCACCAAGCTGATCACAGCCAGGCAGCCTGCCCAGCTCCCACCTAGAAGGGGCATGTCCCCCAGTGGGGAAGTACTCTGCTACAAGGAGCAATAGGCCTTTTGACAATCTATCAGGTCCACTGTGATAATGTACATTATATTGTATATAGAAAAGTAATATAATTAAGGCTCTTCCATCACAGAAAACAGGATCATTTTTTCCTTTAAGCTTTGACCAATATCACTGGATTCCATGGACCCTGATTTTTAATCTTCTCTACTAGCCCCAAAATGAGAACTAGCATTTGAAAATGAAGCCAAGATCTTCAGTGTACACACAGAGGTAATCAGCACGCAATCGAGCCAGATGCGCATTATGCTATTCCTTATCAGCAAGTAAAGAGATTCCTGCAGCAGTAATTACAGATAATTAAAGCCTCTCTACAAACTTTTGCTACTTCAGCAAGCTGGAAATTCCAAAATGAGATGGATTTTTAAGAAGTTATGTAATCAAAACAAGGTTGTTTTTTTTTTTTTTCCTTTTTATATATGGCTAGCAAGGCATCAAAACCTGAGATCAAAACAAAAGTAAGAGAAGCACACAAGTGACTCCTTTACGCTTAACTCTGAAAACACAGGGGGAAGTGAGCACTGAAATGTGGAAGTGGATCTGATGTGATCTGCCAGAAACACAAAAAGGGCTCTCCCACAGCAGAGAAGTGTCCAACTTCTCAGTTCTGCTTCCAGACCTGAAAGCTGGCTTGGCCCTTCTAAAATAAACCTTGTTCCTCGCTGTGCAGGAGAAGAGTGCACGCCGCTTCCAAATGCTGACCTGTTGATGGGCAGACACATTCGCATCTACCCAGATGGACGCACATCTGCTCACTGACCAGACATAAGCCAGCTCCAACTGGAAGGCCAAAATAACTTTTCGTCTAACAACAAAGAAGAGACTGATATAGCCATGCCACGCAGTGGAGCTTAATAGCTCAGGCTTAGCACTGTACAGACCTGCCTGCATTGATTCCAGCTGCTTGCAGCGTGGGCAGAGCAGGCATTCAAGACCTACCACCCATCCACACAAGCACACGACTTTGGCTGGAAGGCAACAGGTACTGGGGTTTAAATATTGAAGTGAATGGACAGTGGGTCTCCAAGTCTCCTGTGATGAGACTACACAACTCTATCCCGGATCTGTTGGAAACACGGCCCCCCATGGGATTGTGCAGCTTCAATAAGTGGTAACAGAGTGAACCCTCCCCACTATTTGCTGGGATTTTACAGCTCAGATACCACAGCACAGATTTTCACGTACTGCAAATTGCTACTAAATTCCAGCACTAACAGCAGCTGAGGCTTCAGGCTAAACTCTCTTCCTATATCCTGCTGTGCAAATTTAAGATCGGCTTTTCTTTCCAAATCTGGATCTTAAACGGCATATTGTGGAAAATAATCCTGGAAAATCTGTCTTCTCTTAGTGATGGGAATGTTTAGTTTCAAAGATACTTATTTAAAAGGCTTGACAATGAATAGATTTTACTATCTGTGTTTGAGTAACATGAAAGAGATATTCAGAGCATGCAAACACCACAACACAACTCCTAAAAACATGATAACCAAAGCTTGGGAGATCCACATCATTTCTGCATTCAGCTCCAGTTTACAAAAACTAAGCTGAGGTGCAGCACAGTGAAAGATGTCTGTTCCTGATACACTAACCCAGGTGAAACACCTACTGCAGGTCTTAAAACTCTACCCCAACTTCCCCTCCGTACTTGATCTGAACATCCCCATTTAGATTCAGATCTGCTGTTGGAAGAGGCTCAACTTCCTCTACAGCTTTCAAAATAAGACTGCCAGGAGATACAACAGGCTCTCCACTGGTGCCCTAAGCCCAGGTCAAGCCAACTTTTAACTGCAGTGCTAGGACAGCTGAATGAACAGCCTTGGCAGCCATTTGCGCAGAGACAAGCCTAGGAAATAGAAACAGTGGGTACCAAAAAGCTTATCAGGAGGAAGAAAGAAAGCAAACAGCTTTCCCTGGGTAGGGTAGGGAGGGAGTGCTGTAAGTAGACCTCACAAAGGATACAAAGGTTTCTGTTCCTATTAGTTATGTAAAATTAATCTCCAGAAAACTGAGCTGAGCTCATCACCTGTCCCACACCCTAATCCCACTGCTGAAAGTGGTGATGGATCACTGACAAATCCCTTAAAATTTATGTTAAAACACAGAGCTGGAGTCTGAGTCTCTGTGGGCCTTGACGGGAAGCATTTCCATTGTATTTTGCCAAGACAGAAAATATGCAAACTCTGTAATCTGCATGGGAGACTGGGAATGACTTGCTGAAATTTAATATGATGCTGAATAAAGGTTTCAACCTCTCTCAACCAGATCTCTTCTAAATCCATTATTATATACCTTATATAATTTACAGGATTTGTCTCATGTACCTTGACTCCATCCAGAACTGCTTTTATGACACCCTTCACTGTTGTCACCATCTCCTTGTCTTCCGAATTCACGCCTTCCAGCATCACTTGATCAGACCAGCGGATTAGATTGGCCAGGCTCTGGTACACACGGCTATAGCAGGACGAGATGGCAGAGCTGGACAGTTGAGAAAGAACAAAATGAAGTTATGGAGATATTATCAAACGTTACGAGAGTGCTTGATTTAAAGCGCATTTCACACTGTTAAAGACATCATTGTTCTCATTTTCTCTCTGACATCCAGAAATTGTGTTGAGCAGGTGACAAAGCCTGGGTTTCTCCTTTGATGCAGTTGCCCTCTTGCTCTCCAGCACCAAAGAGGATGACAGTAGGCAGGTACAATCAGCAGTTCATTCTCAGTTAACAGAAAGAATTATCTGGGCTGCAGATTAACACAGCAGTGCTAAAAAGAACATCCTTTCCATTTTAATTTACAGCTCCATCCCATGCCTTAACTTCAAAGGTAAATATTTAAGTGCTATATTTAAGTCTAAGTTACATTATTTCACCATTATCTTTGCTTTCCTTCTTCCTTATTAACTCTCCCCAAAAGTGTCTTGGATAATTGAGAGCTGCCTGTATTCATTCTTTTACAAACCATTGCCTCAACTGTTTATAATGCCTGAAAACATGTAATTAAAACCTGCTCCTTTACAGAAATTGAGCTGAATGAATCTCAGGTTTGGAAGAGGAAGGGTGTTGCTTTGTTTTGTTTGCAATGAGAAACAGAATTGGAGCTATTGTTCCAAAGGGGGAAAAAAAAAGAAGTTTGGAAGGATGACAACTCTAAATAAAAGTTAACTGTAACAACAGCGCTCACAGGCATTTCCCTGGCCATTCTGAAAGCACTTACTTCATTATTAAACAAGGTGTGTAACAGTACTGCTGATGGCAACGCTTCAACAATTCTTTGTAAAGCTAAATCAACTCCAAACTGCATCAAAACCATAAACAGATAAGAGAAGGTGTAATCTTGCAATCATTACTGATACAAGTGTTCCAAATCTCCCCATTTTAATTCAGGATCCATTTTATACTGGCTTAATTCCAGTGATTTCATTATCTGTGAGAAGAGAATCGAGCCCACAAGCTTCAAGGAGATTATTTAGGTGAATGAGGTTTGCAGGCCTGGAGAAAGAGCTATTGTCAAGTTACAACCAGGGAGATACAAACAAGGGGGGGTACTTTTTGTTTAGCTGTTTGTTTTTTTTTAAAGCATGCTGCTTGCCATTTGTTCTAATTTCAAATGAAATTAGCTTGGTAGGAGATATTTCCTAAACAGGGCCCTCCCCCATCTCTTTCTAAGGCTTTGATTTCTTTGCCATTAATCTTCAGCCTGCTTCCTTCTAAGGAGGCAGTAATTGAAAGCCCATTTTGTGCTAGATTTAATTACTTTTTTCCTTGATGCAAATGCTTCCCTTAAAGCCAAAAGAAGTCCAGCAATGATTGCAGGCCTTTCTTCCACACTGACACAAGTCTGGCTCACTTTTCCTGAGGGGGATTTGCTACCAAAACCACCCCTTTGTCACTACTGGAAAGAGATAAAGTACATCGGTAGGCACAAAAGGACACAGCCTGTTGAGAACACCACATCCCTTTTATTACTGTGAGGCTAAACAAGGTACAACATATATCTGTGCTTTAATACATACTGTTTCCAGAAAGAGAGACTTACCATTATGTAGAGGACTCCACTGCCTACTGACTATGAAAATTCTGCTTATATGGGTAAATACAGATATCCAACTGTCAAGGTTGCATTAGTTCATCACTAAGAGACAGGGCATAAGAAATTTGAAGAACAGAACTGTCTCAAATACTGCTGCTGCTGCAGACCACTTGGTTGATATTTATTTCCAAGTATATTCTTGAAAGGAAAGATCGCCCAGCAAACACGCCCTGGATACAGAAATCAAAGCAAGCAGCTATAAAGATAATATGTTCTATCCTAAAAATATTTGCTGGCATTTTACATGTTCTCCTGGTGTAAGGGGGAAGTTCCCTGTTTCTTTTATTAAGTGAGAGCAGGTGCTTGTTAGGAATTTAATGGCTGTGTGAAACCTGATAGCAACAGAAGAAACTTCTGTGCCTGCACCAAGAAGCCTGATAATTGTTCCCATTCTAGCAGCTATTGCTCTTTGTAGTTGTACAGATCCAACCTAAATTGGACCCCTCCTGTCCCAGCCACAGCTCTGATTCTCACCTATTGCTTCTTTCATTTCGTACAGTCAGATACAACCCTGGCCTATGCATCAGGGCCAAACACAGATAAGCATCTCTGCAAAGTATTTGGCACCCTACTGCTGTCTTGACCATACTATAAGCTTTTCTTGCATCAGAATGGAAATCAGCATCTTGAAACAAACAAACAAAAAAATTCAAGATATTTAATCAGAAAACAAATAGGAACAGTACAGAAACAGGCAGGATTTCAGGAACCAAACACCTGCATTATTTTGCCTAGTTTTGTGCTTTTCTCTGTCTGTGCTAATCTTTCTCTTTCTATATTATCCAACGTTTGCTTGTTTTGTGTAAATTAGCTCCAGCATCTATGGGATGAGCAGTAGCTACATCTCTATGGCTTGACAACTCCACAAATTCCTATAATCCATGTTGAGCTTTGCTTTGGCAAATTTCTATTACTTCCCTGGCTCCAAACTCGCTGTCGAAGATAATACACAGATAATAATAAAAGATAATACACATAATCTGTTAAAAGATAAAACAATCTGTTGAGAGTAGACAGGAATAAACTTGGAGTTGTTAATCTACTGAAGTACATCTATTGACTTCTGTTCTGTGTCTGATCCAGTAAAATCCAAAAAAGCAGTTAAGAGTGGAGGCTCAAGCTTCTCTAACATCAGGGTGGATAAACCGAACACAAAAAGGTATTACTCTGAAGATAAACTCTTTTTCAGGTAAAAGCTACTGGATTTGCTAGCTTTTAGGATACCACCATGGACTGCAGAAGCAGTGTAGCACCTGAGGGGAATCTCCTGCTAGTAAATGATGCATTTCCAAATTTATGCTAAGAATCATCCCTTCTTCCTCTCTGAAACCATTCTGATTTGCTTTATCTTCCCAAAGCATCGGCTTCTCCACAGCAGGGTACCCGCTTTTAAGTCATGTTTGAAAACTGCCACATAATTAGTAAAAAACAGCCATCACTTCATTAGCCACTGCAGCATTGCCTGTCTCCTGCACAATGTGATTCTTTACATGCAAGAAAGAGAGAAGCTGGGAGCCTGCTGCTCTGTCATGGTCCCAAAACTCAAGAAGGACGCTTACCTTTGCTGGATGCGTGGATCCGTTTGCACCAAGGGCAGGATGGCTTCCAGCACTTTACTTGCTGAGCCTGGCAGCATCTCTAACACCTTGTTATCAATTGCCATTTTGTCCACAATGGTCTTAAAGTAGCGCAATGCACTGACAACCTCCTTCTCCTTTTCCTCTAGCCATGATACATTCTGAAGAGGAGGAAACAAAGGGGGGAGATGTTAAAACCTGATGTTACACAGCCTTCTCACCTCCTCTACCCTGCACACCTTCTGCAGGCAAGTTTGCTGCCTGTCCCTGCCCCTAAGTGCAGATAGCAATGATAATGCAAGAAAGGAAGCAACAACTACTGGTTTTAATTGAGCTGCTCCTTTGATGCAATCAAAGTCCTCCAGCACATCTCACTACCAAAAGGTGTTTTCAGCCAGTAAATGCAGCGGATGAGCCAAAGGGAAAAAGAAAAGAGGACACCCCCCTGCCCTGAATCAGAAAAACTTACTTATGTCTCCATTTCTGTATCCATCCTGATAGTTTCAACAACATATGTGCTGCTCATCCTTACAATTCTGATTAATTCTCCTGACTCCAGTATGCCTACTTGTTTGAGAGTGGGCTACAGTCTCGTACCTCCATTCACAAATAAAAACCTCCATCCTGATCAGCTTCCAACCCAAACCATTTTGTGATGCTGCTGGCACAAGGGAACTCACACGCTTTCAGAGGGACAAACTGTGAAAGTTAGGTTTTGGCATCGGTGAATGAATGTTGCAGAAGGGAACAATTCATTGGAATAAAGCTGAGTTGCGGTCACCAACTTCCTTGCCACCACCAACGCTAGAAGAGGAAACTCAGAAGTGATACATGATGCCTTAAAGGCATTCTGGACAGGGATATTTTTAAGAAGTTTACCTGAGTACGCCTGGAGGACTTTTAATGCCACAAGCAGCTCCTAAGTGAGATTTAAATGAGCTACTGAACACTGTTAGAAAAGGAGCAGAGAGCTTAGCAGAGTCAGGTTTCATCCATTATCTCCTCAGTAAATTCAGCTTCAAGAATTAATGACCTATGGGCATTGTGTGCTCCCCATACTCTTGTCAGCTGTTAAACTGCTGCTTTTCTGTGAAATCAGGCCAGCAGCCCAAAAGGTTTTAGGAAGAACAACTTATAGGCAACACTGGTTAGTAATGTGGGGCCAGTTGCATAAAAGGATTAGATTCCCAAGTCCCATAGAGCTTCAAGTCTAACATCCAATCCAGGACCTGCAAACCACCCTGTCATTTTCCATCTCATCTGGGAAGTGCCCAAACTCTGCTGCTGCTTCCACTTTATGACCATACTGCTTGCCAGGCACCTCAAGTTCTGACCTGCAGCCCACAGCACCCAAATTCCCTTGCTGAGGAGCATCCTGGCAACTCACTGACACAAAAAAGGACATTTCTCATTTTTCAGGCATTTCACCACTGCAGAATTTACTCCAGGAGATACGGAGGAGCTCAAACTCAGACAGTCTGGCACATCATATAAAATGATCACACATTTCAGGGATGAAGAGCCCCTGTATATCCCCAAGCAAGTATGACCATGGCCCTCTGGTCAGAGCTCTCAAAAAGAAGTGAAAAAATGTGGACTGCAGTTCCTGCTCTGATGGCTGTTTATGTATTTCATTCAAAAACTGTTTCCTGAAGAAAGGCTTGTGACTTAATAGCTTAAACACTCTCCTGGCGCTTAGGAGGGACGGGCTTGATTCTGAGAGTTCAGGGCTGAGAATGACAAATGGAAACACATATCCTTCCGCTGAGCACACCAAGGCATGCAAATCCAGCTACCGGACACTATATGGGACACAGCCCTCCTTTTGCAACTTCCCTGCCAGCTCTTTGGGTGACATTCCCTAGGAGCACTTTTACTGAATCTCATTCTGAGGTCCAGAGGTACCGCATATGTGTGTGTGCGTATGTGTGCACACAAACATACACAAAGCAAGCCTGTACATCCTACATAGGATCACAGGTGCTGCTCAGAGCTCACATACATCAATGTCAGTTGTTGCTCTGAGGCTGAAGTTTCTTGTGTTTAGTGCTTTACTCACTGTGGCCTGAGAACAACAGCAATAAATCTGGAGAAAGGAGCAATAATCTAGTGGGATGGATGGATATTAATATATCCCCATGCCTGTATCTCACAAGAGTAATGATATTAAGTTTTTCCACCAAACATCTGTGTTCCTAATGCCAAAGTAGGAGTCTTCCCTTAAATAATCATTACAAATGCATCATGTATGAGACACAACTGACCCAGAAAGGGGTTACAGCGAGCTGTACAGAACACACCCAATTACAAAAGCTGAACAGACCCTTTTTGCCTGCATTTTGGCAATGAAAAACCTATTACAACTTTGCATATGTTGCTGAAGGACACTACTGTTCCTACAATATGCCCTATGGTTAAGAACCAAAGACAGGGTCCAAGGGACAAAAGGAAGCTCAGAAAAACCTCCCCGTATGCTGCCGAATTTCTAGGTATAAAGGGGAAGAGGAGAGGTCTCCATAACCTTCAGGTTACCCATAGTGATTTCACATCAATTTTTTGGTATTGCTATTTCTGCTCTACAGTGATTATCTACTTAAGATGCTATTTTTATACTCTTGAAGTACTTAAAAGGGAGGAAAGGATGATATTTGGTTCATCAAGTGTGTCTTCTGACAGAAAATCTCCTGTTTGTCAACTGATGTCTATATTCCAGTGAGGGAATCTGGCAACAGTCCATGCATATCCTCTTCCCCACTCTCTCCACACAAAGCTAATGAGCTCACTACATCCAACTAATTGATTAGTTGGACAGTAGCTATTAAAACACACAAGGAATGAGCCAGAAATCAACAATATATCACAGTATAAAACTGCATACAGCTTAAATAATCATGTATGGTAATAAAAACTACTGCAAGTGTTTTGTTTCCCAATTAAAAAATCCCAATCTGCACATAAAGAAAGGTCTTGCGTGTTCAGCATGCCTTATCAGTAAATCTTCTTGAATTGTTTTTAAGAGGAAAGAAAGAAAAGCAAAACCTTCACCTGTTATTAACATGCTAAGATATATTTGCTGTAGGATAGCATTTTGAAATGGATACTTCATTTCCAATTTATTTAATTTGTGGTCAATTTAAAAGAAGGCCTCTAAATTATCTCAACGTCTTGAAACATCGTTGGAATTAAAAGCCTTCAAGGAGTACTCTCCGATTATTCTTTCATTTTTCAATAGCAGCCAGCAATGCAAGCTCCTCAGCTCAAGAAAGCACATCCATAGCCTCCTGGGGGAAAAAAAACCCTACAGCCTGGGAAATAAAAGCCTCATCATCTTCCACCTGATGGTGCAGAATAGGGCCAGGAATCTCTGCAGCGACTTCTCTGGGTGTTAAGCACATCACACAGAAAGATAGCTGTATCTTGCCGACTGCTTTCAGTAACACTACAACAACCCTCAGCAGAGATAATTGAAAAGGTTTGCACTCCTGGCACTGCACACTGGATGAGACTTTCAACAACTGGGAAAGACTGTGAATTATCATAAATAACCTCATTGGTCTTAACTATCAGCTTAGACGTATACTTGAAAACTGACTGCAACAGTATTGTTACAGAGACAGTCTCCAGCCTACAAAATGAGGTCACAACAGCAGAGGAGATAACACTGCCATGGGTTTGTGCTGGGAAAGAGGGGTGACCTCAGCTCTTAGAGGACTTGGAGTATGTTGGGGCTGAGGAACAGTGTGCTGGGATCAGCAGCTGCTTGAACACATCTGTTTGACTCCCTGCTGATGTCAGAGATTGAGCACATCTTTGGACCAACTTCATGGATTTGCTTGCCTGGGTTTTGGGGTTTCTGAAAGGATCCATTCCAAAACCAGGCAGTTATCTGGAAGCTGTAAGCATAGCCATAGGGCGTGGAGCATTGTGGAGAGAGATGTGTCATGCCATATACTACATGCCATAATGCGACAGATAATTGCTTATGGCAGGAGGTCTCATCAGGCTCTCCAAAGGGAAGTACATGCCTTGGTTGCTCTTACTTTACACTACACAGTACAGTTTATAACTGACCATAAAGTAACACTGATGATCCTGGAAAATCTGCAGAATTCTGCAGAGGACAAAGTCACACACTGGATTTTGATAAAGTAAGTACCAGCAAGCAAAACAACAGCAAGACTAATAGAACAGGTCCTTCAACTGCTTACTTTGTTCACTGACTTCTCTGGTGTTTTCACTGTCAGGTCAACTTGCTTTCCTTTCTTTGAAGGGGTTCTCTTTATTTTTGGTGAATGAAACTTGCCCTTCAACTTCATAGTGAACGAGGAGAGATGGGAACGCTCAGAATCTGGGAAGACAAAGAAACACAGTACTGGATTAGGGTGAAATTGTTGAAACCAGGGACACTGTGCTACAGCATTATCTGGGATATAACTGCACCATGTAAATTTATTGCAACCTTGTAAATTTGTCGAGTGGAACAGGATAAAAATATAATTGTGGCTCTCTATTAGGTTTCCAACTGCAGTATCACCATCATTTCCTGCTTCCCCTCAGAGGCAGCAACACTGTAGTGCAAAGGCAGGAACAGTGCCTTGCAGAATAGGAACACCACTCTTAAAAGCACTTATCCCCAGCAGATCCCAAAGTACTTTACAAAGGAGGTAATCAGCATTGCTCTCTTGCAGATGAGTCAAGGGGATGAAGTGACTTGTTCATAGACGTCTGGCAGAGCAGAGTTCCTGCCTGTGTCTTCACTGGGGGTCAGCAGCCACCATGGGTGTGCAGGCAGGGTTCTGCCTGGTACCCAGGACCAGTGGCTGCACCAGGTCCTTTCCGATGTTATGCCTTTCCTAGGCTGCTGATCTCTGCTCACTTGGCAGCATCACCTTTGGATGTGGCTCCATGGATAATGCGAACAAAAATGCCAGCCCTTGTCAATTACAACAGATTTCGCTTCAAATGTACTAGAGAAACCAACAACCAGAGGGACCACTTCAATACCAGGGCATCCTTGAAGGGGCTTAAACACAAATGGCTCGACCCTTTTAACAATTGCATTTTCATGGGGTTTTGAGTATCTAAAAGCAGAAGTCTCAAAGGTTAGCAATCATGCCATATGCAGACTTACCGTTGAAATATATTTTTATCTGTTTAGCCACAAAGCTAAATAAAACTACGCTTCCTTGTAGAGAGCAATTCAGAATGCATTTCGAGCAAAGACCACTTTAATAAATGAAGGTCTGAACTGCTCTCTAGTGACTCAGATAATTCAGCAGAAGTTACCAAACTTGCCTTTATATTAACAAGAAAAGCAAGCAGTTTTGCTGTATGTTCCATTTTTCTTTTAGATTACTTGGGAACTGACTGCCCTGGCTGTAATGAGCCCAAACAACACAGCCCCATGCATGCAGCACTGCACCACCTTGTTAGCATGCAGCCTGCAAACAGAAAAGGCTGCTGAGTCAAATCTAGCACCCAGAAGCTAAATACCACACTGCAGCACGAACACGGCTCCTCGTACTCAGAAATTACCTAACCCAAATCAAGGGAAGGAACCTGTGCTTGCCTCCCCAAAGGGCTGTCCCTTTAAACTCAGTTTCCTGTACTGTGTTAAGACCCTGCTATTAACACCTTTACCAGAGCTAACCCTCTGGTTAATTGTGTCCTCTACAGCACAGTCTTGCAGGCATGCTATTAATGGAAGCTGCACCAGCACCAATTGTCATCTAGTGTGGCTGCAGACCTCCATTTACAGGAGTGAATGTATTTCCAAGTTTTCTTTGTATCATAAAATCCCGTTTAATGCTCTGAGGAGGGAGAAACTAAAGACCTTGGTCACTGCAGATAAATCCAGACATATCAGTTGGCCTCTGAAGAATCGCTTACAGCAGCTGGCACCTTAACTTAGCAACGATTTACGTCATTGCTTTACATCTACAAGGGGATCTCCAAACCTTTAAAACCCCTCCGGCTCCACGGGGTGCTGAAGGTCACCACTGAAAACAGTTCCTGGCTGCTGCGGTAATGCTCTTGCACTAACCCCTCCAACAGTTCATAGTTATTTCATACACCATAGGAGTATTTCTATACATGCATGTGTATGCATGTATGCTTGCCAAGAAAAGTCATGGCTCTGAATTTATTTGTCAAGGACTGGCAAACAATTGCAATAATTAATCTGTAGGGAAATAATAGTAGCAGCAACAAATTGTATCTGGCTCCTCCACAGGCTGCAGTGAGATCCAAACTGCTGGTCTGAGTAAGAGAATGTTCAATACCTACAGAACCCTCCATTGCCTATGGTGATAATTTTGCCTTCTAGGGAATAAGACATTTGGAAGGGAAAGATTTCATAAGACTGCCATTTCCTTTTCTCCTTCCACCAGATATCTCTACCCACCTTTACGGGCAAGCAGATGAACAGATGAATTAATGTGTGTGCAGGGTGAGGAACCTCCAAAATGAGATGTTCTGTCAGCAGAGAAAGTTTCTCTTCTGCTAACAGCAGATCCCCATCACCACCACCACCCTAACCACTGCCCTTTGCTCTCTTTACCCTTCCATCACATCAAACACTGCATCATTTGCATGCCACGCTCCAAGGCGACACAGACCAACAGAGTGAGGACAGGAGCGAGTGTCTGGAGCAGAATAGGAACTTCTTAAAATAGTAAAATAGTACTAATGAAGTAAAGCAGCTGGCATTTGCAATAATAATAAACGTTACTGTTTGAACAGCCCTGTTAAGTCCTGCTTTGAAGACCACAAACTAATGCAGCTTTTTTCTGCCATGTCTCTCCATCTACAAGCATTTTCCAGATCTCATCTGCTCACAAGTTTCTGATGCATTTGCAGTTAAACAAATGAGTCACAAACCAATATTCTCCAACACTCAATTATGTGTAGCACTTAAAAATAGCACTTTTCTTCTTCCAAGCACATTACAAACATCTTCTTCTCATCCTTAAACAGTTAGGTCTTAACCTTACTCTGCAGATGGGAAGCAGGCACAAAGGTGAAGCAACTTGCCTAAACAGAGCAGAGGGTGAGTCAGTGACTCCAGTATAGCATCTCCATCCAACTGCAGGCCCCCATCCCCATCCCCATATTCACGAATCAAGCCGTGAAGCTACTGTGATTATATTCAGTGAATGCCAACAGACATTATTCAGCATGATGGGCTTTAAGCTTTTCAAGCAGACACATCATTCAAGCATGATAAACAGAATTTGCATTTTAATAAATCGGGATGAAGTAGTGCAAAGGAGAAGTCAGGAAGGTGTCCTGGTTCAAAGGCAGCAGTTACCTAAGCTTTTACAGACGAGGACTGAAACCCTCCTGCAAAAAGCAAAGCTGAGTGACGTCCTAGAATGGGTACATAGCACTGGTCTGCTTTGAGAAAGTCACTTTCTTTACACTATATCCTAATTTAAACATCTAACATGTCCCATATCTGTGCAGTTAAAATATTCAACCAGGACAGCATGCCTTTACAGATCAATTAATCTGATAATGTACAGAGAGAAGCAGAAAACAGAGTCATGGCAGTGTTCAAACCACCTTCCTGCCTGTCTGCAGTAACCAAACCCCTTAATGCAGCATTGAGGTTGTTCCCGGAGCTTGGTAGCCAGCCCACTGGAAACTGTTCTATCATATTACCCTCGACTCCTATTGATGAATAACCAGCAGTGTTTAACTGGAATCTCAGCACTGGCTTTCTCAACTTCTCTTTCTGCTTTTTGGTGTGCAGGAGGAGGCTACCCTGCACTTCTGTGCAGTGTCCAAGTACTAACAGGATGAATGGGAAAAGACAAGGTCATAAGCTTGATGGAGTTATATCAACTGAAAGGGGAAAAACTTGAGGTAGTGTTGTGTTGAAGCATTTCTGTCTCAAAGGAACCACTTTCCGTCCCCTTGTATTTCACCTGCCCAGATTTCTCTGCTGTGAAAAAACCCCAATCCCTTCAAAACTACTTTACTCTGGATCCGAGTTTCTTGATTTCTGACTGGAAGGTTTAATACGTCACTCGTCTCACTGTTAATTCCATCCCCTGTTAATGAGGCTCCCGCTCCGTTGTGCTTGAACGCGCTCCAGCTGTTGAGTCACGGCCCCGCTCAGCTCTCGGGCTCCTCTCCCCCCGAACGGCACGTGTCTGGGGTCCGACCACACACACAACAGGAGAAAGCTCACGTTATGTGCCTGCTCCAAGCAGCCCCGCTGCCAAGGGTGGCCACAGGGGAGCTTTGGTACCCCTTGAGCCCTTCTGGGCTAGGGAGGCCACAGCCACCTCGTCCCCTGGCAGCTCCACCAGCCCTAGCAAAGCAGTGCTGCCTGCCAGTTCGCTGACAGAAAGCTAAATCTGGTGAGGAAAGAACTGCAGATTTTAAACAACAGCAGATTAAGAGGCACAAGGGAAGGCAAATAAATCAGCTTACGTGCTTGATGGTGAAGAAACTAGGCTGCTCAGGGAGAAAGCCAGCAAGTCAAAGCCCAATGTCCACCGAAGCCATAGTCAAACGGTCGCTTTCCACTTGGTTCAAATGAACTCCAGAAATTAGGTCAAAAAACACATGCTGGTGAATTCCACCAACCTAACCCAATAGCAAACTATTCACTTTGAAGTCAAAGTGAAAGTTCAGGGTTTTACAGAGCTCGGTCATGGCAGACTTTCCAGTTTTGGGGTAACCAGTATATGGGAGGCTTTGGAGATGGGAAATAACCCCTGTCTGCTTCTGGACCTCCTGGTGATGTTTTTGTCACTACAGCACAGCTCAATGGCAGGCAGACTCCAGCAGCAGGGACGGGCAATTCCACTGTTCAACTTGCTTAGTGAGCATATCAAACGGACTGAAAACAGGCTTGGAAAAAACCAAACCCAAAACTTTAGATTACAATACCTTTTCTTTCCTTCACGTGAAAACCTAAACCTTCCATCTTCTCTCCCTCTGGTCGTGCTCACACACCGAATGCCTGCAGCTTTAGAGGCGACAAAGCCTTAAAAAGGGTTATAGTTCATTTTCCAGCTTGAACTGGCTCTAGTGGCTTGTTAGAAAGAACGAAGTGGAGTCTAAAAATCTTATCCCACAAATGGTTCGCTTTTCAAAGGCCATTTGGGTCTCTGCTGGATGCACATATTTAAAAGCTATCAGATTAAAAATAAGAGCAGACATCTCTCCCCATGTCATAATGAAGCTATTGTGCACATTTTTAATCAACCGCTCCTGCCATTTCTGCCACGAGCCCTTTGAAGGCAGAGGTGACTTATGTAATGAGTTACACAACGATGCCCATTAAAATGGCATTTGTTCCCTTGGGCTCAGCTCCATCATTTGTGGAAGACAAAA